GGACTGGCAAAATAAGCGAACCACTCATTGCTCAACTTTTTATTTCTCCTTTTCATTCATTGTGTAATAGTACAGTTGTCAAACCCCCCAAAAATAAGGTTGTGTCCAAACGGGTGCAGACTGTAGCTGTAGATCCTGATCCTTCTCACATCTGCACCAGTTGTTCAGGTTACTTTTCTAACCGTGTGCTTTCGTGTAGATTCAGTTCAAGTTATTTTCAGACGACTGTCGCCGCGTCACCAGATACGGACTCTAGTTTGTTTTCACGCCAACGTGCATCTGTAGGATTATTACGGGGAATCAAACTTTTTTTTTTCTGTCTACGGTGTGTATTTTTAAATATGCATAACTACAACAAGAATGTGATCTTTTTTTATAAGATTATTTATTAGGCGTTTTGGACACAACTCACTTCTATTGACTTCTTGAATTCAGATTCATCCCCTTAATTTTCTTGTATCACCTTCCCAGTTGATCCAGAAGCACCTAGTTATCGTTTAAGATGTGTCCATTGATCCGTTCACACAACCAAGCGCAGAATGATGAAGCTCAACAGACGCTCTCCATTTGTTTTTGTATTGTGAACATTTCAATAAAATTGTTTTTTTTTTTAAATAAGTTTGAACCACAAGTCCATTTCTCAAATCACGGCTTTGTCGTACTGTTTTGACTAAATGTAAAATAATTAAATTTGCAATAACCGCTGTGTACTGGGTCCTAAACGGTATTCAGTACGATGACGGTATTTTCCAAGCTATTAAATGTTTTAGCTCGATTTGAATGTTTTATGCTGCTGTGTGAGGATTAAGTTTATTGATTTTAAACATTCATGCAAAAAAATATGCATCCAAGCATCAAAGATGCATGAACAGCTAGTTCCATTTTATATCTCATTGGAAAAAAACTAAATAAGCAGCTGTACAAAGTACTCGGACGGTCGTGACCTTTCTTAACATGTTTATAATGACGTGATTTTGTGACTTTGCGCAATTAAGAAGCAGCCGAGTGTAATGACGACGCATTCAGAACCATGGATGTTCATCTCGTAGAAGAAAGACATGAGAACTAATACTAAAGAATGAAGTATTCTTGCTTAAGTGAAAACACGCTACAAAACCATCTCACGCTTTGACTGGTCGGTGCTGAACGTTTGCATTATTGTGCTGATCTTAAAGCAACAGATGAGGGATTATAAAATGTGTTTAAAGACTTCAGGGATTTATTATAACAAGCTCTAAACCCTCATTTTAAAATCAGTCAGAATAATGATCCTCGGGCTTCAGGTTATACATTTGTTATAAAGTCTTAAATTACATCCTACGGCTTTTTGTTTTGAGCTGCATTATTTTATTCGTGCATATCGTTGGATGGTATTTAGTTTGACAGACCTTCTCTTTGCTGCGTTTACTTTTTGATCGTGCCATTTCGTACATGTGTAAAATACTGTTTAAGCAACACGAGTGTTCATTTACATTTATTTATTTATTTTTATTTTATTTATTTTTTCCCACTATAAAGTGAACCGTTGCGCCTGAATCGGCGTAATTACTCTAGTTCATTGATGCTAATTCAAACTAGCTTAAAACTAACTTAACTAGTTCATTTGCATTTGTTCCGCACACACACACACACACACATGTTCAGTAGTAATGTACAGTACTTTATTTCATACTACACTGTACCAGCTGTTCATAAAACACCAATATACATAATAATGAAATGATCAAGCCAGAATAACTTTAATAACGAGGTCCCTGAACAACAATAGTGGCTGTAGGCAGCGTATTGGAAGCAGCGTAAGAAACCTGTGATTAATCACTGTGACTTTGTGTTTTCTATCCACAGCAGTGGCTCTGCTGCCGGTCGGGTCATTTCTCCCCATAAACCCTAAATAAACGTCCCTTCTGCTCACGCACACGACCCCACCTTTATTCCACAGGCGGGTTTGTGTACTTGTGTGTGTGTCCAATGGGCTGTGTTAGTTTCTGGGACTTCTTATCACATTCAATATCACATTCAATATCACATTCCACATCCTCCTGCTGTCGCTCAGGCTGTCTGTCAGCCCACGAAAACAACCACTTAAAAAACACAATTGTTTGAATATATTTTCTCATTAATACAAAATAGATATTGAGGAGGAAATTATATTTTCACCTCCTTAATACTAACACTAATATATTTTTTAATCAAAGTAAGCACTTATTAAACCTAGAGGCCGTCTGCATTCATTTAAATTCACCGTCCTAATCCCTTCTAGAATGTACTTCTTTCAACTTAAAGTGAGAAGGATGTTCAATTGATGACTAATGAACACCCTCACTTACAAAGTGCCTCATTGTTCTTAGAGAGTATGACAACTACAAGGACTTCAGTCTGCAGAGACGTCTCACGTGAGCTGCCGTCTGGTTCTGGCAGCGGACAGAAGGGACGTACTGGGACTGGACCTGCATGGACCTCAGGACAAGTTAAAGGATCACCACGCGAGGGTAAAGACCACGTATCAACACTTCTCTCCACTTCCTGAACCTTAGGTTTTGGGGGACGAGGAAACCATTTAAATGTTCCCAGGAAGCTTATCGCATGGTTTCCATGTTGTAGTTTATAGTGGGTCATTGATTTTCACTAAACAAACACAATGCCTTGGGGACAAATGGTGGATTGTAAACAGCCGGTTGGAGCTGATCAGAAGTAGTTGGGATGTGATTCAACCCCATTTGGTTTTTACAAGACAGACAATATTGCAAGCGCGTAGGTGAAAGCCAGTGTTTAGTGTCCTTGTAATGTCTCACTATTGTCCCCTTTGATCAATTTCTTGTCCACAGCAATAAGTCAAGTGAAAAACATTTCACTTTGGCAGAAAGGAGACTGTGAATGCCGTTAAGTCCTTCACGCCGAAGAGTGAATTCCTGAATCCTGTCTGCAACCAACTGTCGTCTGCCGATCTCCGTAATTATCACAGTCCTTATTGGATCAGTCTTCTTCCGTCCTGGGTCCTTATTGGATCAGTCTTCTTCCGTCCTGGGTCCTTATTGGATCAGTCTTCTTCCGTCCTGGGTCCTTATTGGATCAGTCTTCTTCCGTCCTGGGTCCTTATTGGATCAGTCTTCTTCCGTCCTGGGTCCTTATTGGGTCAGTCTTCTTCCGTCCTGGGTCCTTATTGGGTCAGTCTTCTTCCGTCCTGGGTCCTTATTGGGTCAGTCTTCTTCCGTCCTGGATCCCCTCCTCTTCTCGCTCTACACCAACTCTCTCTGCGCTGTCATTCGCTCGCATGGCTTCTCCTACCACAGTGATGCCGATGACACCAACTAATTCTCTCCTTCCCTCACTCTGATCTCTGCCTGTCTGACTGACATCTCTCAGTGGATCCGCCCACCATCTGAAGATCAACCCCGACAAGACGGAACTACTTCTCTATCTGGGGAAAGATTCTCCTTCACGGGACCTGACTGTTAACTTTGAGACTCCGTGTTAACGTCCACTTTGACTGCAGGAACCTCGGCGTGACATCGACAGCCGACTCTCCCTGACTCCAACATCACTGACAACACCATCCTGTAGATACTCGCTCTACAACATCAGGAGAACACGTCCTCTTCTCACTCAGAAGGCGGCGCAGGTACTGATTGAGGGTCTTGTCATCTCATCCTGGACTACTGTGACTCTCTCCTGCAGGTCTCCTGCTACCACCATTCCACCTCTGCAGCTCATCCAGAATGCAGCAGCTCCACTGGTCTTTAACCTTCCTAAGTTCTCCCTCACTCCTCCACTCCTCCGCTCTCTTCACTGGTACCGGTGGCTCATCCAGTTCTAAACATGGTGCTCACGTACCATGCTGTGAATGGATGGGGTCCAGCTTCCATCCAGGACCTGGTCCAACCCGACATCCCGACCTCTGACCTCTCCGCTCTGCATGTGATAAACTGCTTGTTCCTCCTCACTGAGAGCAAAACACTCGACTAGATCTCCACTCTTTGCTGTCCTGCTCCTAAATGGTGGAAGGAGGTCTCTGAAGACATCAGGACCACAGAGAGCCTTCACACCTTCAGACTAAAGACACACCTCTTCAGACTCTACCTCCACTAACACACTAACTACCTGTAGCACTTACATTGGACTTATAATGGTTCTTATCTACAGCAAGTTGTACATCGGCTTATGTGATGAAATCACACTTTCTTGTTTCTTGTTCTTCTGAGTTTGTGTCCTTATGGTTGAAATGTTCTTATTGTAAGTCGCTTTGGATAAAAGCATCAGATAAATGACATGTGATGTGATGGTGTCAAAGTGTCTTCATGTGCTGGTTGGCTCTTTGAAGGGGCTGATATATAATTAATATATTTATAATATTAATGTATTTAATATTCTGTTTGTCTCTGTTGGGGGAAACATGTGAGTACACGTCCCTTAGAGGCTGAGGACATACAGAAAGACGCTCACATCGTCATCAGCCTGGGACCTTCAGCATACACAAGGTCACGTGACATTTCTATCACAGATATTCAGGTGGATTCTGGTACTTACGTTCATACCACACTGCATGCTGGGATACGCTGGGCCTCAGAGGACAGACGTGTCCTCCACATCGCCCCCTGGAGGGCTGTGTCCTTCCACCGCGTTGAAGCAGCCGGAGTGACGCACGCGGTGGATGAGGAGCAGATGGATGCAGTCGCCCTGCTGGAGCTCCGGCGGCTCCTTGACCTCCTACATGACCTTCAGCAATCTGATGTTTGTTTGATCTTCATACGTGACGATAAAAAGCACTTTATCGGAAAAAGCACAACGATCGAATCCCGCCGAGTTCCATCCGCCTGATGTCACACGTTTAATGCTGCAGACATTCACTTTCCCACAATGCTTCACTCTGAAGAAAGCAGAGCTGATGACACGAGGCGACGGTCGGGCTTCAGTACGTCGGGGAGTTAAAGTGAGAGACTCGTGTGGAAGCACTTGTTGACATCAACACGTTATTATCACAAAGAAATGAACATGAACGTCTCTGTTGGTCTTATTGTGTCTTTATTATTCACACTGTGATACGTGTTGGGAACATGAAGGATGTTTACTGGTTTAATCCATCGGTGACGTCCCCCTGCTGGCCGGGACCAGTCACTGCACCACATGTTGTTTACAATAAAAGGCATTTATTCACATTAGAAACAAACAATTAAATTCCTGTTAACCGAAGTAACACATGGAGGCACTAAACGTTGTACTATTATAAACGTCAATAAAACCACAAGTACTTTATATTATGTCATTAAACCTTCAGAGGTTTGCTGAAGCTTTAAAAAGGTTCTTGCAAACCTGATTATGTGAAATTATATTTGATTTCACTGAAGACATTTAAAAAAAATGTTTAAAAAGTTCAAATTGGCTCAAAAAGAATTACATGTTCATATTTTACTTATTTGTCATTACAAACAATCCTTAGAAAAACTGCTAATGATGAACACACACAGATGTCCATGTATCTCCTATTGGGGGCAATGAGAGACCTTTTTATAAAATGTCTATTGATTCATTCACAGAGGCAACGAGCTCCTTCACACTTCATCTGCAACACCACAAGTCCCAGAGAGCTGTGGACCCCCCCAGAGTCCAGACCAGCTCAGGTTCCCCTCACCTGCATCTACACCCACATGAACCTACCTCAGCTGTGTGAGCAGAGAGGAAGGTTCTCCACCAGGAGGAGACTCTCCCTCCTGCAGAGAACACAGAGTCACTGAGGGACCAAGAACAGAAACAGTAGAGAAAAGGAACCTGACCATAGACGGCAAGGTGAAGCCGAAGCCAAAGCCAAACCCAGGATAAAGAGGTTCAGTGGACGTGGTGCTGAAGGTGTGGAGGTGGATCAGTGTGTCAGAGGAGACTTTGTAGAAGGACAGAGAACCAGCAGGACAGTCCACATACACTGCTACTCTACTAGAGGAGGAGGAGGAGGAGGAGGTGAAGATGCGGGAGAAGATGGAGGAGGAGGGGGTGATGCGTGTTACTGTCTTATTGTGACGGACAGTGTAACCATCAGAGCACATCAGAGCCCAGGACTGATCATTGTATCCAAACCAACAGTCTGCACTGTTTCCTTTCCTCCCGATTCCTCTGTAACTCACTGATACATAAACTTCTCCTCTACACTCGACCTCCCAGTAACAGCGACCAGTCAGACCAGTTCGACACAGCAGCTGACGACAGGAGTCAAATCTGTCTGGATGATCAGGATATGACTGATACTCGTCCTCCTTATCCGCCACACATGTCACCGTCCTGTTGTTGTCAGACAGTTTGAGTCTTCCGTTTACTGTGTTTGTGTCGAACGTGAGTTCACAGGAATCTGATGAGAGAACGAGACACAATACAGCTGCAGTTATTAATCATGTGTTCATCTACCGACACTTTGATGATGACATCACAGAGGTGAATGAGTGATGTCTTCATGAATCAAAGCACACTTACACTTCCTCAGACCTGGTGTCAGCCATCGGACTCCATCAGGCTTCACCCTGAAAGGAGGAGGGGGGTCAGAGCAGCATGGAGACATGGACATTACATCACACACACAGCTTTGTCCTTCACGTCCACATGGACCACCTCTTCTTCTTCTGATTGGCCGATGACCACAGCTCATCATTACATGTCATTTAGCTGACGCTTTTATCCAAAGCGACGTACAATAAGTGTTCACAATCATGTTCACTCTCTATCATCTATTATCATCAGCATCATTCTGACCTTCAGCTTCGATTCACTCCGTTTCCTTCAGCAGTCAGTGAATCAAATGTTTAAACCTCATCAAGTGGTTTCTTTGTCCAGTTGTGGTTCAGTGACAACAAGCTGTGAACACAACATGTGACATGTGATCGTCTTCTAAAGGAGTTCTGTCTAACATGATATCAACCAGCTGCTTCCACATCCAGCAGGTTCACATCAACATGAAGGTTCATCAGGAGTCTTTGTGTCACCTGATGGATAGAAGCCAACAATTCTCTCTCTTTTAGCTCTGTTTTTGGTCTCCACCACCTCCTGGGGGGAATATATCTGTGTCTAGCTGCTAAATGCTCCTCTATGTCCCCCAGCTGGTCTCTGACTCAGTGTGTCTGCTGCTCAGCAGGTAGTGTCTGCAGCCACAGAGCACTGCCTGAGTCCCCCTATAACTTTGGTCCAGTCCTAAACAAACCTCTTTGGGCTCTGACACACCAGGTCCACCATCAGCTGTTGGCTCTTCACTGAGCGTCTGTGGCCGACTGTCACCTGTAGCTTCAACAAGTCCCCTCTCATCATCCAGGGAACTGGCTCTCAGTGCAAAGCACCAAAAGCAGGTGAAGCTGAACTCCTTTAAAACACCAAACATTCGTCCTGTGATGATCCATCAAGACGCTTTGAACAGATTGTTTCTGACTGTTTGCCTTTTAATAAGAATGTCTGGACTTAAGGACAACACACACTGGAGGCAGATGACCAGCATCTAAACATCCGGGTGTGACGACGTTGACTCATATCAGCCCACCATGATGCCGTCAGCGTGTCAGGAGACACTGTCCTCTCTTATAACGTGGAGACAAGACAATGCTCCAGAGAAACAAGCCTTTCATCACCTTCCTCCCTGTTCAGGCTCATCCTGGCTACTGATCCTCACTACTTCTGTCTGTGTTGATGGTCTCATGTGGGACACAAACAGTTGGATGAGTCTCTGGTGGTTTGAGTTCAGCTTGGTGTGTCAGGGTCTTATTAACCAGGCTGACAGTGGGACAGAGAAAAGGTTTCCAGCTCCTCTACAGACTGATGGTCTGTGGCTGCAGCCTCTTCATACCTGAGAGTCTTCAGTCTCCACTGTGGATCCTCCCGTCCAGCAGACAGCAGCTTCACTCCTGAGTCTCCTGGATGATTGTAGCTCAGGTCCAGCTCTCTCAGATGGGAGGGGTTGGAGCTCAGAGCCGAGGCCAGAGAAGAACAGCCTTCCTCTGTGATCAGACAGCCTGACAGCCTGCAGACACACAACACAACACACATGTCACATGATCTGAGGGAGCTGTGAGAGCTGAAGGACCACTGCAGGACTGAGACACTGTCGACTACTGAGGTGTCTTATTAACATTGTTACGGACTAGTTTCCAGTCACGACCAAACACCCACTAATGTCCATCAACAATCTGATAACATTACTGATAACTATGATTGATCTCCAATAGATCTCCATTTCTAACATTGCATTGATAAAACATTCTACAACATGTTTATGAAAATATTTGGAAAATGCATATTTGATTTAAATCCTGCAAGCAGAATCTTATGGAAATCAGAAATATACCATTGATGTAAATAAAGACACCAAGTGGACATTGATTGAATTCTGACCTGAGAGTCTCCAGTTCACAGTGTGGACTCTCCAGTCCAGCAGACAGCAGCTTCACTCCTGAATCCTGCAGGTCGTTGTTACTCAGGTCCAGCTCTCTCAGACTGGAGGACTGGGAGCTGAGAACTGAGGACAGAGCTTCACAGCTTCTCTCTGAGAGGTTACAGCCACTCAGTCTGAAGAGACAACAGTCAACAAGGAGGAGGATAACTTTAGTGTTAAAATGAAATCCTCTTTGCATTTTACTCCAAATCCATAAACAATCAGTAAGAAGAAAGAAAACTGTGTTCTGTGAAAGTGTTTACAATGGCCTTAGTTCTACTTTAAATAAGAGGAGAAAACTGTTTTTTTGACGTTAGGCTTCTCTATCCTCTGACTTGTTTTAAAGAAAGAGAACAAAGTAAATTAGAAAATATTCTTCTTCTACTGATTTTATGTTTTTTTACATTCTGAATCAGAAATAAAAACCATCAAACTCTCAGCAGATCGTCACGGTAGAGACACACATTAAAGTCTTCAGTCTCCTTCCCACTTCAGCTTTTCTCCTTTTCATTCATTGATTATATTAAACATGACATCACAAAGACTAAATAAGAGGAGCAGCGGGATGAACTTGTGATGTTTTATTGTGAAAGAACATCTTTTTAAGCTAATGTGTAATAAGTGTGTCTTGTCCACAAACTTCTTGTGATGTCATGGAAACACAAATATGAATTCAGAAAAAGGGCTTTTAGTCTCATTGCGCCTGCGGAGCGAGACGTGAAAGCTGTGTGTGATTTGTGTGTCCTGTTTACAGAATCCTATCATCTGCCTACTTGGTACGAATCCTGGTACCTGTAACAACTAATTAAAAATAAACTCTACTACACGTTATGGAAATAGTTGATTTAAATATGCAAGCAGGAAGAATCTTATGAAATGTATCATTGATGTAAATAAAGGCATTGTGGACATTAATTGAATTCTGACCTGAGAGTCTCCAGTTCACAGCGTGGACTCTCCAGTCCAGCAGACAGCAGCTTCACTCCTGAATCCTGCAGGCCGTTGTAGCTCAGATCCAGCTCTCCCAGACTAGAGGACTGGGAGCTGAGAACTGAGAACAGAGCTTCAAAGCTTCTCTCTGAGAGGTTACAGCCACTCAGTCTGAAGAGACAACCATCAACAATAAAGAAAATATGAGCAATAAGTAGAAAAGATGACAGCATGTTTAAGTTCCAATGTATGAATCTGACTCCCTCTGTACTTACAGAGCTTTGTTGGAGGCTTTGACCACTGGCAGCAGCCTCAGAAGAGCCTCCTCTGAAGCAGAGTATTTCTTCAGGTCAAACACCTCTAGATCTTCTTCTGATGACAGTAAGATGAAGACCAGAGCTGACCACTGAGCAGGAGACAGTTGATCTGTGGAGAGACGTCCTGAACTAAAGGACTGTTGGATCTCCTCCACTAGAGCGACATCTTTCAGTTCATTCAGACAGTGGAACAGATTGTGACTACAGAAAAAATCATTGTTTCTGATCTTCTCCTTGATGTACTGGACTGTCTCCGGATTGGTCTGTGAGCTACTTCCTGTCTGTGTCAGCAGACCTCGTAGGAGAGTCTGATTGGTCTCCAGGGAAAGACCCAGGAGGAAGCGGAGGAACAAGTCCAGGTGTCCATTAGGACTCTGTAAGGCCTCGTCCACAGCACTCTGGTAGAGACACATTGGTTCAGGTTCTCCTGACAGCAGATTGACACCAGACCTGAAGAAGGTCATATGGACATGAAGAGCAGCAAAAAACTCCTGAACACTCAGATGGACGAAGCAGAAGAACATGTCCTGGTACAGTCCTCTCTCCTCTCTGAAGATCTGAGTGAACACTCCTGAGTACACTGAGGCTGCTCTGATATCGATGCCACACTCTGTCAGGTTGGATTCATAGAAGATCAGGTTGCCTTTCTGCAGCTGATCAAAGGCCAGTTTTCCCAGAGACTCGATCATCTTCCTGGTCTCTGGACTCCAGTGTGGATTTGTCTCAGGTCCTGCATCGTACTTGACCTTCTTCACTTTGGACTGAACCACCAGGAAGAGGATGTACATCTCAGTCAGGGTCATGGGTAGCTTTCCTCTCTTTCTGGTCTTCAACACCTCCTTGAGAACTCCAGCAGTGATCCAGCAGAAGACTGGGATGTGGCACATGATGTGGAGGCTTCGTGAGGTCTTGATGTGAGAGATGATCCTGTTGGCCTGCTCCTCATCTCTGAAACTCTTCATGAAGTACTCCTCCTTCTGGGGGTCGGTGAACCCTCTGACCTCTGTCACCATGCCGACACACTCAGCAGGGATCTGATTGGCTGCTGCAGGTCGTGTGGTGATCCAGAGGCGAGCAGTGGGAAGCAGGTTCCCCTTGATGAGGTTTGTGAGGAGCACATCCACTGAGGCCGACTCTGTGACATCAGTCAGGTCCTCATTGTTGTGGAAGTCCAGAGGAAGTTGACACTCATCCAGACCGTCAAAGATGAACACAACCTGGAACATCTCAAACCTGCAGATTCCTGCTGCTTTGGTTTCACTGAAGAAGTGATGAACAAGTCGCACCAAGCTGAACTTCTCTCTCAGCACATTCAGCTTTTTGAAGGTGAATGGAAATGTGAACTCTATGTCCTGGTGGTCTTTGTCTTCAGCCCAGTCCAGAGTGAACTTCTGTGTTAGGAATGTTTTCCCAATGCCAGCCACTCCCTTAGTCAACACTGTTCTGGGTGGTTTCTTCCTTCCAGCTGAGGCTTTGAAGAGGTCTTCGGGTTGGAGTCTGATGGTTGTTTCTGGTCTGTCTGGTTTCCAGGATGCTGTTTCAATCTGTCTGACCTCATGTTCTTCATTGACCTCTGCAGTCCCTCCCTCTGTGATGTAGAGCTCTGTGTAGATCTCATTCAGAAGGGTTGGGTTTCCTGCTTTAGGGATCCCCTCAAACACACACTGGAACTTCTCCATCAGGTTAGATTTGAGTTCACGTTGACAGTTGGCGATAATCTCTGGATGAACAAAAAAAAGTGATGACACAAACCAGGTAGTGCTTTACTTTAATGGTATAATATTGTTACATGTCATTTAGCTGACGTCCAAATCGACTTACAATAAGTGCATTTCAACCATAAGGAAACAAACCCAGAAGAACAAAAAACAAGAAAGTGCAATTTCACCAACTAAGCCAATTTATAACTTTCTATAGATAAGAGCCAAAATAAGTACAATTTAAGTGCTACAATTGCTGTTCTCCTGCCTTCACCCAGTGCCGACCAGTCCTCGGATGTAGGAACTTGCATGCAGCAGTGGGCCCTGATACCTACTTGGATGGCTTCTCTTCAATCAACCTCAGAACATCAGTTCTACAATTTCAAAGTCTAAATCTTCTACTTGTCTCTTGGATCCAATTTCAACTGAGCTGCTTAAGGAAGTTTTTCCTTTAGTTAGACGTCTTTACTGGATATTATGAATCTGTCTTTGGTGACAGGACACGTACCACAGTCCTTCAAGGTAGCTGTAATTAAACCTCTTAAGAAACCTCCCCTTGCTCCAGAGGTGTTGGCTAACTACAGACCTATCTCTAATCTTCCCTCTCTAATCTTCCCTTCCTCTTGAAGATCCTTGAGAAATCCGTTGCAACTCAATTATGTGACTTTCTGTAAAACAATGCTTTGTTCAAGGAATTCCAGTCAGGATTTCGAGTGCATCATAGCACAGAAACAGCACTGGTGAAAATTACGAATGATCTTCTACTTGCATCGGACCAAGGACTCATCTCTTTTCTTGTCTTGCTGGACCTCAGTGCCGCATTTGACACCATTGATCATTGGATCCTGTTGCAGAGACTAGAACATTTGATTGGTATCAAAGGAACTGCACTCAGCTGGTTTAAATCCTATTTATTGGATCGATCCCAGTTTGTGCTTGTAAACGGTGAATCCTCGAAGACCACCAATGTTGGTCACGGAGGGTTTGAACGTGTCCTGGATGTAAGCTGGACCCCATCCATTGACAGCATGCTACGTGAGCACCAGTGTTTAAAACTGGATGAGCCACCGGTACCAGTGAAGAGAGCGGAGGAGTGGAGTGAGGGAGAACTTAGGAAGGTTTAAGACCAGTGGAGCTGCTGCATTCTGGATGAGCTGCAGAGGTGGAATGGTGGTAGCAGGAGTTCTGCAGGAGAGAGTTACAGTAGTCCAGGAGGGAGACGACAAGAGCCTGAATCAGCACCTGCCATAATTTCTCTGGTTGTTTTATCCACTTGCCATGTTGGCGTCATGCTAGCTAGCGCTATGCTAGGGTCTGATGTTATGCACCAACCACCAAGTCAAATTCCTTGTCTGTCCAGAGGTGTCAAGTAACGAAGTACACTTAGAAATTTTGGGTATCTATACTTGAATAATGGAGTATTTGTTTTTCAGATGACTTTTTACTTCTACTCTTTACATTTTCACGCAAATATCTGTACTTTTTTACTCCTTACATTTTAAAAACAGCCTCGTTACTTCCGGCTTGTCGTAGTTCAACAACACAAAGACAAAAAAACCTAGATAAAATCTAGATAAACGGCTCTGTGCGGACAGAGTGCATTTGATTGTGTTTGGATGAGAAGTATAAACATTTAGCATCCAGACACCCGATTGGTTTTCTCCGCGATGCGCCGGCAGATCGGAGCGACACCGCGTGGGAAAAGTGGTGGAAAGTTGGTATTTATCAACATGGAGCCTCTTCCTCCTCCTCTTCCTCACGCAGATTCCATGTAACGTTAGATGAGTATCTTCATGACCGTGGGTTTGTCCTAAATGTTTTATTGAGAGTCTGGCACAACACAGCGACTTGCAAGCAGCGTATTAAATAAAGTGATGTGTGTCTTAATGCGGCTTTGGAAACGAACACAAAGGGATTCTGTATTTGCTCACGAAGCCTGAACATTCTGGTTATTTGGCCCATGTTTGATAACCGACCGCTGCCAGTTCAGTGTTTCCCATCATTGAAAGTTGAAGAAGGTTAAGAGGATTTTAAAATAAACTCCACTGGAAAACCATGTTAAAACATGTATATTAAATCAAGCTGTAGAAAGCTGAAAAGTCATAGCACTCTTCTCCTGAAGGAGAACGGTTTTAATGGCTGAAAGTGTGAAGGAGTTAGAGGAATAAATCGAAGTTGAAATAGATTCAAAGAACAATATTTGGAATGCTGAAGCAGCATTCCAAATAACTGAAGCGTGTAAAAGTTAAGACAGTTGTAGAAAAAGTCTCTTCACCTTGACCTCGATCTCCTTCCACAAGATTCGGTTCGCCTGAAACGAGATGTTTTCGTGATTACTTTGTGCATTTGTAGAGTGATAATATCTTCTATCGTCTGTGCTCAAATTCAACCCTACACTCTTAATGTGAAATAGATCCTCTTATTGAGTGAACACCAGTTCAGGGTTTGGTTTTTAATCCCTCCTCCCAGGGTGGTGCCCCGCTATTAATAACATTTATTAAGAAATGTATTGACGGTAATAATTTCATTAATGTCAGTCAGTTAGTGTTCATACTTGTGACCAGAACAACTTCTAATGAGACTCAAAGCCGACAGAGAGCAGAGAATCCATGAATGAAACGGCACATGAAGCACATCCATCAGAGGGGCGGAGCTTCAGAAGAGCTCCGCCCTCCTGGGATGAGGAGGATTTATGAAGCACATTCCTCAGCTTTACTTCTGTTGTATCTTTATTATTCGCATTTGATGTCTTTGGTCCTCTTTTTAACAACTTACCTGTAGAGTTAGAGTTCATTCTGGATAATTGTTCGGCCAGATCGTTCATTTGCATGTTTTTCAAAACTGTCACGGCCACCTGAACAGAGTCTGTGTCGTAGCACCGGACCATCAGGTCCACCGTGTTCCTCCTGTTTTTGTTCTCCAGGTCACAGGGTGGGATTGATCGGCCTGGATGGTTCTCCAGGTGCCACTTGAACCCGTCGAAGTCCTCCTCATTGAGCCGCTCTAAAATGTGGAGGATGTCCACCTTGACTTTCTCCATCTGTCCTTTTTTAAAAGACACCAAAATAAATAAACCGTAGAGAACAATTACTGGTCTTTACTTAAAAAGCAAACAGCAGCGTGTTTTAAAGATGACAGGAAAGCAGGAAGTAAATGGAGACAAATCCAAAAGGTTTTGAAAATTGAACCTGAAAAGGTTGATTTTCATCTGGAACATTGAAAAATACAACCATGTTTTTATACACAATGAAAAGGTAAAAGGAAAACCGGGAGGTGTTGAAGGATCTGATGTGTGTTGGCGGGCGGGCAGGCGTGAACGAGCGAGAGAGAGAGAAGTACGCGATATGTCGTCCTGATTCTATTTTATCGCAGAGTTTCCTGTTTTGATGTGTTTGATGCGCCTAAACAACAAATCAAGTAATGTGACTTTCACTCATTTCACTGGTGAACATTGTGTACAGCGACACACAAAACATAAACACAATCCAAGAGGAACAGCTAAACACACACAGTCATGTTGGTAGTGATAATACTCTTTAAATAACCAGAACTTGCTCAATTTTCAACCGATCTTTAAACGGTTTGGTTTGTTATAAGCGTCAGAGATGTAGTTATGACACTGCAGACATGATGAATAATTATGTTAAGTTCTAAAAAATAGTATTAATGTTCTAAAATAGGTTACAAGATTTCCCTTTACAAATATATGAATATAAGAAATGCTGCATGTTGAAATCCCCACATTGTACAGAGATGTATTTATGTCACTGCATACTAATGAATAATTATAACCACCGGTTCTCATACGAAAATGATATTAAACAGAACATTATGCATGAGTATGCAGTGTAATGACTACACCTCTGACGCTTATGACAAACCAAACTGTTTTAGAAAGTTATTATTTAAAGTACATGTACCAACACAACGTTACGGGTGAACGAGCTGCCTGTACCAAGATGGCGGTGACGATGAAAATGGGCAGAAAATTGGCTAAAAATGCAGATATTCATCATTTAAGTGCAAAGCCCCCAACTCTTCAAATATTATAAATAAATGAGGGTATCTTTAGGGTGCGATACATCGATATGCTACACATTTGTTGCCACACCCTTAGCAGTTCCTCGTTCCTTATCTGAGCTGAGAAGCAAGTTAGAAAACTAAGATAAACCGCTAACTGCTAAGCTAACGGGACACAACACTCACCGCACTGCGTGTCGTCACCGCCGAGAGGGACTTCAAACCAAAACAGGAAGCGACCTTCTTCTTCTTCTTCTTCTTCTTCCTCTTCTTCCTCTTCTTCTTCTTCTTCTGTTTCTGCTTCTTCTTCTTCTTCTGTTTCTGCTTCTTCTTCTTCTTCTTCTTCCTCCTCTTCTTCTTCTTCTTCTTCTGTTTTTGCTTCTTCTTCTTCTTCTTCTTCCTCCTCTTCTTCTTCTTCTTCTTCTTCTTCTGTTTTTGCTTCTTCTTCTTCTTCTTCTTCTTCTTCTTCTTCTTCTTCTTCTTCTTCTTCTTCTTCTTCCTCTTCTTCTTCCTCTTCTTCTGTTGGTTTTACGGCAGTCGGCATCCAGCTTACTGGTGCATTACCGCCACCTTCTGCACCGGAGTGTGGATCAGATACTGAACCAGGGGTCTTCAACTAAAATGTGAAGAGGTCCAGTTAGAGAAAATATCTAGAAGCATAATGTGACTACTTAGTCATGTATGTTCAGTTCTTTGCAAATATAAATATGTTTCTCTCAATTAACTAAATAAAAGTAGGGCTGCATTTAAAGTGCAAATAAAAACGGAAGATAAGCTTGAATTTCCCCCTTTCTGCTTCACATTTGGACTCGACAGTCGCAGCAAATTATAAATAATAAATCACACACATTTTAACAATTGAAAAGTTCTATAAAATATATGTACACTCTCCCACTCTTTTGATCTAGTTTTTCCTGCCAGGATTTTAAACCTGGTCTTAATGCATCAGGTTCTCCTCCTCACGTGGAGGAGCTCATTGAGCCTCATGATGACGTTTCAACGGGTTCTGAGCTCATGAGACACTGGTTTAGTGCTGCAGTATGAACAGAAACCAGTCCGTCCATTAAGGCATTTTTTTCTAGAGCAAAAGCTTCTGCTTTGAGAGCAAGGGTTTTTGTTTTGCAGACAAAAACAATAGTTTCATAAGCAAAACTAAACTAAACCTGCAAGAAGCTTCCGCCATCACTGCTGAGACCAAAGCGCTGGAGGCCAGTAGTACAAGACGTGTGTGTGTGTGTGTGTGTGTGTGTGTGTGTGTGTGTGTGTGTGAAGGCTCTTTATGCAGAATACTCTTGTTCTTTTTGTGCGTTAGTATCAAGGATTAAAAGGACGCTGCCTGATGAAAGAGAAAATAGTCGTGATGTTGTTTTTGCTGTTGGCCTTTCAACCCACAGAATTATGGTCTTTTAATTATCTTATGTCCCTCATTTAAAGTTAGTGTAAATTGAATACTATATCAGACAAAATACGTTGCAATATTTAATGTAAAAAAGGTTTTATTTTGAGTTTTGTTATGTTTGCAATCACTGGTTAAATGTAATCCTTTATAATAGTTTTTATGTATCTACGGGTGGACTTCCTGCTTGCGTCATCTGCTTTGTCTCCAGCTCCCGTTGCCTAGCAACCTGCTGCAAGCCTTAAAACCCCCAAACTTACCAAGTACAGTTCGAGAAGATAATCTTCTTCATATTTCATTTAAATTAGGAGGATATGCTTCACTTCTGGAGGACGATGTATTTCTGAGAGAAGAACATTTTAAACTCATATTCAAAACAAATCAGTTAGGCCTTTCAGCTAAAAGTCAATTGCAATCTTAAAGCAGAGGAGATTCCATCGATACTGTCATAAAAACCACAACAGCAAACACATTTATTAACTTGTATGCAAGGACTTTTTATTTTTTTGTTGCATTGGATACGAGCTATTTTAACTGTAACAAGATATTACAGAATATGTCCAATCTGCAGTAGCTCAATGTCATCACACACATGGTTCTCCTTCAGCTTCCTTATCACTCCCTAAAACACAACAAAATGTGAAGTTAGTTTATAATCACAATATAAATAAATAATAACATTATATTTTTCAGAATGGTGTTGACGGTAATAATTTCATTAATGTCAGTTAGTGTTCATACTTGTGACCAGAACAACTTCTAATGAGACTCAAAGCCGACAGAGAGAATCCATGAATGAAACGGCACATGAAGCAAATCCGTCAGAGGGGCGGAGCTTCAGAAGAGCTCCGCCCTCCTGGGATGAGGAGGATTTATGAAGCACATTCCTCATCTTTACTTCTGTTGTATCTTTATTATATCTGATGTCTTTGTTCCAAAGCAACAACTTACCAGTCGGAATGTTTTTCCATGAATTCTTCGAGCAGATCCATCCTTGGAATCTTTTTCAAAATACATAGGGTCAAGTCAACGGAGTCTGTGCCGTTGTGCCGCGCCATCTGGTTCACTGTTTCCGGCCTGTCTGCGTTCTCTAGGAAACAGGCTACGATTGGTCGGAACTCTTCCTGGCCCGGAGGGTTCTGCAGGTGCCACTTGAATCGTGTGAACTCTTCCTCCTTGAGCTGGTCTAAAAGTTTCAACATCTCCTTCTTGGCTTTCTCCATCTGTCCTATTTAGAGACACCCAAATAAGCATCAACCGTGGAGAACAATCACTGCTCTCCACTAGGATAAACGCGTCAGCTAAATGACATGTAATGTAAAAAACAAACAGCAGCGTGTTTTAAAGATGGAGTTTTATCGGTTCATTGGTTTTGATTCACAATCAAATCTCTTTCTAAGCACCTCTGATGAAGTCAGCGTCCTCTTTGTGGAAACAAGTGGAATGAATCTGTGAATATTGGGGAAGTTTGAAGTGGTTCACAGCTTCACCTGCAAAGACAGCAGTCAGATCAGACTGAGCTCCTCCTCTTCATCACTCAGACCAACAGCAGCTCCTCTCCGCCTGCTCACACAGGCGCCATCTTGTTTCCCCGCTTTAAACAATCACACCTCCACAAGCATCAATGATGTCATTCAACCAATCACAGCTGCACTTACTGATCCTCAGCAGGTCCGTGTAGAAAAGGAGCTCCGCGCTTCACTTCAGCTTCCGTCAGACGGAGTGAAGTGAAGCAGCTTGTTGGCGCTTTTTATTCTTCATCAGAGAGGGTGCGTCCTCACGCCACCATCAAAGTTCAAAGTCTGACTGGTCGACTTTCGGTCTGAGATGTTTACAGTGTTCACAGGGTCAAAGGTCATCGTGAAGAGAATCCTCCTCACGGCTCAAACAAGAGTCTTTCAGGATGAAAACCGGCATCTGTGGAACGATCCTTTCTCCTCGTGAAGAGTTGCTATGACAACAGACTGGATGCTGTAGTTTGGACCAGATGGTTCAGAGGACCCGTGCACGTCCCTCTTTGTCTCCTGGTCTTCTTCTGCATGTAGACTAGCAGGGAACACGTGATGAAGCAGGAACCTTTGTAACAAATGTAGTGAAGAGTTTATATTGAATAAAAACATCCACTAGTGGGTGCGTTTCATAAAAACACTCGGTTGTCTGAGCTGAGAGTGTTTTTATTCTTCACCCACTTTGATGATCTGGTTGAACCTGTTGGGCGGAACAACTCACCCACGTATCAGTGTGAAACTGCGTGTTAAATCATTTACCTTTATGACAAACTGCAGCTTCCTCACAAAGGACACGTTGTTACACGCAGTATTCAACTTGCTCATCACACCTTGAACCCTCTGGCTCATCCATCTGCTCCACGAAGGATTGTGTAAGAAGTTAAAAGCACAGCTCTGATCTCTAGTTCACGAGTAGTTATTTCTCGATGAAGCAGAAGTGGTGTGATCAGCAGTTATTAACTTTTTGCATGCTTTGTACAGTAGCACAGTGGTAATGTGTTTGCTTTGGAAGCAGGAGATTGGTTTGAATCCCACTGCTTAACCTTGACCAGTTGAGGAATCTCCCTGAATCTTCTCTCTGCAGCAGAAGATGTGTGATCAGCTCTTGTTTGCCTCGATTGACTACATCTCGCATTATTTATCCTCTTTCTTGATGTGTCTCAGTACAGGTCTGTAGTGGGTGTATCTTAGCGTGTGGAGGTTCTGGGTTTAAATCCCATTCTGGACAAGCTTTGTTTTTTTTCCTCAAACGTTCTTTTTAAAATGTTGTTTTGTATTCCGTCCGTTGGGCAGCGAAGGCCCGCTCATCGCTACTGGCAGCTTTAATTCTATTTGTATTCTATATTGTCGCCCGGGAGCAGAGTTGCTGTGTCTATGGTTGATGTGGAGGAAAAACAATGTCGGAAAGCTGAACTGTTTTCTCCAGATGATCCCTGAGAGCGGCGCTCACAGCGTTTGAGGCTGCGTTTCAGTTTATTTTGATCTCATCATTTATACCAGAACGTTTTCATAAATGAATAATAACATAGTATATTTAGAGTTTTTTATCAGTACTTTTACTGTGTGATGTTGGTAGTTTTACGGTACTAGTAAACATAAAAGCACATGGCTGTGTCTACGCACTGAAACAACATCTGTACAATCAGGCGTTGGTGGTTTTTAATGTGATTGAAACATCTTTAACAATAATAAATATCCTGCAATCAAACAATCAACATTCGTACATACGAGACGTTTTTCCCCAAACGAACAGACAAGTTCTGTTCCTGGTTCACACACATGCAACATATTCAACAACAGAACCCTTTGAATGTCGGCTGATGACCTCGTCCTTCTGATGAGGACTACAACTCCCATCAGGCTTTGGCTGCACCGTTACTCCCAGCTGGTGGATCAGTGATCATCTCACACCAGGACTTTATCTCTTCATGAGGCTGTGAAGAGACGTTTCACCCCCCTGCTCAAAGGCCAAAGGTAGCAGGGAGGTGCTGATGATGTCATTGGGATATTATTCTGAGAATCCATATTTCTCTTTGACGTGTGGAATGAATAAAGTATCAATAAGACATGAAAAGAGATTACATCTGTATCATGTGTGTGTTCTTAGTGACAGTATCTCACTTTATACTCGTCACAATAAAAGCTTATTCTGTTGAGCAGAGTACAAATATATACCACATAAAATCAGAATATTTGAAGAGGAAGTTGTACTTCGTGTAGTACGTCATATTACAGCGTAAACAATCAACATTGTTAACATTTTACAAAATACAGTTTTTCTGTTTACATCTTTATGTTTAAAGCTTCAATCTTACAATCAAATTGTAATAGTCAAGAATAAAGCTGAACATATGCAGCAACAAGTCATAATAAAACTATTATCTTTTTCTAGAAAAGGAAAAGCTTCATTTTCTAGTAAAACAAAGAACTTGTTCCTCTTTGTTCTTGTGTGTTTTATTTTCTTAAAATAACCTTCTTCAAAAGACAGATTGTTTTTTTGGCCCTAAAAGGACCGAAAAAGAGTCCATAAGAGGTGGTACATTTACATCACGCACACAAACAGACACACACTGGCTCAGGTGTGGGGTTTGAGCGTGCGTCTGCTCCTTTTCTCCCAGAATGCAGCAGTGCATCTCTTGGTCCGGTCTGCGTTGTCCCCTCTGAGGACGAGAAGCAGCGTGAATGTTTCTCTCACGTCCTGGTTGTTGGTGTAGTTGTGTTGTTCTCTTACAGAGAGCAGCGTCTGTCTGCGTCATGTGACTCAGTCAGACCGCCCACCTGTCAATCACACACGTGTTGTCTGCGTGTGATTTAGTCCCCGTTAACAATATAAACCTCTGTAGAACAGCTGGATTTCATCAGCTGTGTGTGTGTGTGTGTGTGTGTGTGTGTGTGTCTGTCTGTCTGTCTGAGTGTGTGTCTGTGTGTGTGTCTGGCTGTGTGTGTGTGTCTGTCTGGCTGTGTGTGTGTGTGTCTGTGTGAGTGTGTGTCTGTGTGTCTGTGTGTGTGTCTGGCTGTGTGTGTGTGTGTGTGTGTGTGTGTCTGTCTGTGTGTGTGTGTCTGTGTGTGTGTGTCTGTCTGGCTGTTTGTGTCTGTGTGTGTGTGCGAGTGTGTGTGTGTCTGTGTGTGTGAGTGTCTGTGTGAGTGTGTGTGTGTGTGTCTGTGTGTGTGTGTGTGTGTCCTCACTCTGTGTGCGTCTGCAGGGAGCAGAATCTCACACACTCGTGGTCTCGTGTGCGTTTGCAGAAGCAGCGTTGGACCTCCCGCTTCAGTCGGGCCGACCCGAACCCGTAAGGAACCAGGTGGCTGGAAGGAGGAGAACAACATTAAACCACAGAAGAAGAGCGTCGTTTGTTGTTGAGTAGATTTCATGCTTAGCTTCTTCTTCATTATGGGGTGATAATGATTATTTGGCCTTCGCCTCGTTTGTTACAAAACTATCTGAAGTACCCAGAAACCCTCAGGGTCAAAGGTCACGTGCTGAGTGAGAGTCTGTGAGGGCGTCAGATGAGGAAGTGTTAAAAGTGGCGGTTTAAAGGCTCTTAATGATGCAGGCAGGGAGATTACATGCTGTCTGCAGCCTCAGTGAGGCGGGAGCTGCTTTTAGCTCGTCTGAGGAAGCCTCTCGCTCTTCTGGAATGCGACTTACTGGCAGTCAGGAACATCTCACAGGTCGCTTCAAAAATCTAAATCTGACTGAACGTCATCTGAACAACGACGTTTAAACGTGCAATATATGAACATCCTCGAGTCCGTCTGATCTTGATGGAGAGCTTCACGTGGGCTGCTTGGCTGCTTGTGGTCCAACCACAGAGATCTCAGAGTCCTTGTGGTCTCCTTGTTGTCAAAAGGCTCAAACAGGAAATGACTCTTTCTCATCAGCCTCGACACGTCTGAGTGCTCGTTGTACTGATTGTGAGTCCAAGCTGAAGGTGGTTCAGTGTGAGGATCGATCGTCCTCTGGAGACACTGACGCTCTGAGCTTCATGTGTCCTCCTCCCTCCCTTCCAGCTGCTGTGGGAGGAGAAGAAGGTCTTTGTTCTACCGTCGTCTCACCTCGGCGTGTTGACCCAGACGATGCCGATGTGGCAGAAAAAGATGCACTCCTTGTCTTTCTGGTTCTCGCAGGAGCAGCGCTTCTCTCGCCGGTGGGCCGCGTGGGGGAGCTGCACCAGGGGGCCCTCCTCCGCTGTGGGGCCCTCCTCCGCTGTGGAGACCCTCCTCCGCTGTGGGGCCCTCCTTCGCTGTGGGGCCCTCCTCAGCTGTGGGGCCCTCCTCCACTGGGAGACCCTCCTCTGGGGGGCTCGTGAGAGAGGAGGCTGGGGAGCACAAGTGGAAGACGTCTGTGTCTCTATTGGTCATGATGATGTTTCTGTTATAACACACCAACACACACACACACACACACACACACACACACACACACACACACACACACACACGCCTTTGATGCGCCTCGGTGTGAATGTTTGATTTGACAGAATAAAAACCTTTCACGTCAAAGGTCGGCGGACGCTGAACTGATATGAATCATTTAAAATGATACCAAAAGATAAATAGACATATATATGTACAGCAGATACGTTAAACAATATTATATATATATATATATATATATAAAATAATAAAAACTATTTTTTACATCATCAAACTGTAAACACGTAATGACACGAGGACACGCTCTGGTTCTCAACCTTATCTTTAATAAAATCTACTATTAACGACGTCATCAAACAGAGGCTTCAGATCAGATGCTGAACTACGTCCCTTCAGACATCAGAGCGCCGGCAGGAAGCTCATGTCACCGCTCATCAGCTTTATCTTCTACTTCATGTCTGTGTTCTGCTTCTATTTGAGGTCAGAATCCTCCACTGAGCCACCAAAGAGCTGCGTCATCATCATCATCACCCTTCATCTGATCACACAGGACCTGCTTCACCTCAGCAGGTGTTTGAAGCTCGATGTCTCAGTGTCCTCATGACGCTCGTCTGTCTCTTCTTTCAGACTCGTGGAGAGAAAACATTTAGTTGACTATTTTCTTCTATTTCCCCTTAAAATGTTTACAACAGGACGGATAGACTCCTCTTAAAAAGTAAGACGCTAAGCGGTGAATCAGTGCTTATGCTAAGCTACGCTAACCAGCTGCTGGCTGTAGCTCCACAGACACTATTGTATCAATCTGAACTTGCGACTACGTGTATTTAATAAAAATAAAGGTCTTCAGAGTAAAACCACACGTCACTTTGCTCCACGCGTATTATCTCGTCTCCACAGACAATATTTAATATTCCAAAGAAAATATCAGTTTGATTTGTTATTTGAAAGAACAACAAGCTTCTTCAGAATAACAATCTGAAAAGGAATCTTGTGGTAAAATACATGACGGGTACGATGCTACGAACAGTATCGCAGTAACCTGGTGGTCAGGCGTCGCTGGTTAAATGAGCAACGGATGTTACCGCTGTATCGTAGTAAAGAAGGACAAGCTAGCTGGCTAGCTGGCTAGCTAACTAGCCGCTCCGTTCCTTGTTCACCCCAAAGCTTTTTCACACGCCGCCTGACAACAGGAAACAGTTTAATGCCGGTTCTGCTTCTACTCAAAAACTAAATTCTCCACCAATGATAAAAGTTGGTGCAATGGAGGTCAAACCTTACTGGAAACGAGCTGCTTCTTCTGTGATATCTGACCCTCTGAAAGCTGGTAGATATTGTTGCCAATGGCAACGAATCATAATGAGACATTTACATTTTCATCAAGTGCTGGAGGGGATAAATTCTTCCCTTGGTCATAATGTCTTCATTCGTCCTGAGTGCTGGAACTCGTCCCCATGAGCTCACGTACATGATGTACTTGAGCTCGAGTACTCATGGAAACCTCTGCACCAGTTTGCATGTGTGGCTCCTTTGAACCTGGAATGTGGTAAAAGCCAAACGGTTGTTCGGGCTCGTAGATGGTTGGAGACGGCCGACCACCTTATGAAAGGTCCCGCGGGGCTCGGCGATGTTTGATGACACCACAACTTCTCCACCAGCGGGCTGCTTGGAATGCCAGTGTTCTCCCTAGTGGCCTGGAGACACCTTTGCCTCCTGGTCCTTATCGCTTATCGTTGGTAGCAGCCCATCGAGTGTTTGAAGACGTGCGGAGGAAGCAACGAAGGTGCCGAGCTACGCGGCGGCCAACCGTAATAAATGTTTGCTTCTTTTAAAAAAGAAAAACAGATAAGGCACTTAATAAAATAATGCGTGATACAAAGAACCAGGAGAAGTGTTCAGGTACAAGATGAAAGAGGAACGGATGTGCAGAGCCAGAAGAAGAGCATTCCAGGGGAAAACCCCGGGGGGGTAATTGTCAGAAACGCAGTGAACGAGTCCCGACAGTTTGATTGGCAGAGACGCTACAGAATAACGGACGGTTTCTGCTCGTTACAAGAGAGAAAGTTACGTGAGCCGAGCAGCAAACGGCGGCAGGCCGCTCCCCTTCAACGCCTTTACACCCTGACGCCGAGTTCATGTCTTCTGATTGAAGGCGGTGACTACTTAATGTGTTTAGGCACCCCACTTCCCAGTTCAGTTTTCGAGCGATGATTTTCATGAGGGCAAAAGGGGGCCGGAGTGGAGGAGGGGGGAGTCAGGAGGAAACCTCTGTGCCATGCGTTGGCCTGTTTGACTCTAAATGGACCACATGTCACTCAATGAACATCATGCTGTGAAAATGCAGCTTTGACACTAGAAGCTACAAACACAATCCAGCAGACTAAGCAACAAATAAACAACACTATCAACACATGAATCTAACATTTTGAAATTGGGGCTTTATTATTTATAATTTTACATATTTATAAGTTCTAATATAATTAACATTTATTACTAAACTTCTACAGAAAAGTATTTTATTTCCTACTCGATTAAGTCTGACAGCTGGTGGCTCCGACCTGCCTGCTAACAGCCGAGGCTCATGGGAAAATCCGTTTTGCAGATACTTGGTTGTATAACAAAGTCTCGCACACTTTGAGATGATTTAAGTTTCCCCACGAACGCACTCGGTGGTGGTGGAGACGTTTCAGTGCAGAGCTGGAGGAGCCAGAGGAAACAAGGAACATCTCCTCGGTCCCCACAGACCAGCAGAGTGATTCATGAAGACCTCGGGGACCTCTGAACAAAAGCAGATGTGAGGAACTCAGGTCAGGAGAAGCCCGCCAGGAAGCAACCAGAACAACCGTAAGGAGTAAAGATGCTGCTAAACATCTGCTCGGGTAACAGTGTTTGCTCCAGAAACAAGATGCCATCAAACAGAGCTCGGTGAATGAAGACCTCGATGCATCAGCTCAACGTCGTGCTCTTCCTCCTTACGTCATGTGCATAATGCGGGTCCCAGAGGAGGTCCTGGCTCCTCGGGTACTTCTACAGCATGCACACTTCAGCATGAAGCTCCATGTACAGGTTACCTTGATGCTGGTGGATCAACATGACACTGGTGGTGAGGAACCAAAGGTACGTGAGGAAGTCCATCCTCGGGGTCCAGTTGAAAGAACCAATGTGGTCTTCAGGTAAAACACCCTTTTCTCCAGAGGTAAGATCTATAAGCTAAGCTATAAGCTCGAGAAGGTTCCTGGGAAAAACTAAAGGAAACTTCACAATGACGCCATCGTCCAACTGGTTCCAGAGACGAGCCGCTGAGCCGAGAAAGTCCTGCTGGAATCCTGAGGGGCTCCAGATGGAGGAGGAGGATGTGAGCTGTACCTTCACACACGGGGAGGAGGAGCAGGAGGAGGGAACTAAGGGGAGGCTGGGTCTGCAGTGGGACGCCTCCAACGGCTTGAATGCCGTCACCCAGGTCCTCCTCCCCCTCTTACACCTCCTCTTGCTCCTCCTCCTCCTGCTTCTCCTGCTGACCTGGGTCCCTCCGCCACCGTCTCTTTCTGTCCTCTGTCCTCTGACTCTCGTGGTCTGAGGTCTCCATGGGGGGTCTTGGATGAGGAGGAGTCCTCAGACGTCCTCCTCCAGGAGGAACTCCGTCCTGTCTCTGAATGTTTGAGGAAAGAATTTCAGCAAAGACAGCAGGTTTAATAATGTTATTTTACGTAAGTTCTCCAAACCGCCGCAAATAAACAAAAGGAGTTTTGTTGTCTAAGCGTTACGTTCAATTCTAAAAGCTCAACTAGAACATGAAGCAAACCCAATATTGTAAATCAGCAAACAGTCGGCAGTTAAGATGACAAATATACTTCTCTGCTTCTCATCCGGGTTCCAGGTGCAGAATGTGGACATTAAATCAATCTGCCAATAAGAAATGCTTTTTGTTGGGAGTTATTTCAGCTCCAGAGATGTAAACCAGACAACTTCAACACCGACTTTTAGATGAAATCCAAACGTTGCTGCAGGAGAAAAAGTGCTAACGTGGAGGTGTTTGTTAATGATGAATCAACGTATTAATGCGTCTGTGTTGCTGCTCTGATGAAGTTATGGAGTTCTGAGCTCATCTGGAACCAACTTCTGAACACAGAGTAAAATGACAGAACCCCCCTCGTCTTTCATCTCGGGGAAGCTTTCTCGCTGTCTCGCTGTCTCGCTGTCTTTCTGTCGGTGTAACCGAGGAGAGACCGATGCGGTGAACTGAACCCATGAGCGGATTAACGAGGACAATCTTCACATCTGGGAGGCAGAACCAGGTCCAGCCTGTCGCTCGGGCTTCCCCCCCAAACCGCTGCTCTCCACCTGGTGAAACGCTGGCCAATGAGCCGGGCGAGGAAGCGGAAGCTGGACCTTCTTTACTTTGAATTGTTGCTGGGCGGCTTTTAAAGAAGCTGGATGAAGAGTCGCGTTGTTCCTCCAGGACGATTCAAATCACAAGAATCCATCTGTCAAACAAAATCTCCGTTAGCTTGGATGTTGCTTTCGTGGACGTCCACATGAGAACACGATGTGTTCACACGGTGACCACGTTTGACAAGATTGTGTTTGGGTCAAATAAACCAATGATGGATTGTGATTAGGATTTAACAAGTGCTCGACAAACAGGCTTTTCATGGGTTGGTATCAACATGTTCATTGTCTGGTTGGTGTGTTTTTGAATCCGTAACAAAGTTAGGCTAGCTGTTTCCATCCACCTCCAGTCTTTATGCTAAGCTGAGCTAACCATCACATTTGTATAATGTATAACATTAACATTTTGCTGCGTGATCTTTTCAGGCCTCGACAACCTTCATTGATACTTGAGCTCATGCAAACATGCAGAAAAGCTCCTGGAGCTCCTTCTGCCCAACAAACATCTTGACTTCATCACGCCACGTGCAGTGTGTCTGTGCGAGTGTCTGCACGCCGGTTAGCCGGCTGACTTCTCGTCAGCTTCTTCAGCGAGATAATTAGAGAGCACAGCCTGTCGCTGCCATCGCCCCGAGGTACAAGAGGAGAGAAATCACCCTGAAATAACTCATAAAGTGCTTCAGTGAGAGGAAGAGAAGCAGGAGGAATAATTATAACATGATGATAAAAAGTCTAATATAATATAGATGGTAACATTTCTCTTTAAAAGGAAAAAACTCACAATGATGTCATTATTGCAATGAATTAGTGCTGTCAGTTAAACGCGTTATTAACAACGTTAATGCAAATCCATTTTAACGACGTCGATTTTTTATTGTAGTTTTCAATTTAAAGAAAAAAAAATGTTTTTTGGGGAGGGGGGGCTGACCCCAGGAATGGTGGTCCTCACATGCAGGGGCACACAGTGAAATGCCCCCCGTGCACGCAAGTACTTAGCAGCACCGGCAACATCAGCAGCTTCTGAACGGTTGTTTTCAGGCACGTTGTGCTAAAGACGCGAGCTTAGCTGTTGTGTGAAAACGTCAACAGGTCTGTTTGAGTCGCTGGGAGCAAAGAAGTAGTGGGCTGAGCTTTTATCGGTAACTGTTTAACAGACATGGTTTAACAGGCCGAGTCCTTGTTTACCTAAAATGTGCACTTATATAATTTTATTTTGTACCGCCCTGTTTGGCAAGTTGTTTTTCAATAAAATAAAACATGTGCATAAAGCAAGTCAATCCACTTTTCCACGTTGATTAGAGCATTAAAATGAGAAAAAAATATGGAAAATAAATAAATGAAGGGACATTTAGAATAAATAAAGTATTAAACGATTAATTGTGATTCAAGTTAACTGTGCGATTAATCGTGATTAAATATTGTTTGACAGCACTAATATATATATATATATATATATATATATATATATATATATATATATATTTACCATGAAGCTTTGATAAACGTATAATAAACATTTATATCCCGTTGTGACCAAAAGGAAAGTAAACCACAGAAGATGGATAAATCCTCCAAATGTCAGATATTATTGGCACAGATTCTCTTTCCTACAAACAGTTAATGTGGTTTCTGTGAAGGCATAATAATAAACACAGCCGAGTTGTTTTTGTGCATCACAAACCAACTTCAACCACAACGTTGTCATCACATAAAACCTTTTTATTTTGTTAGACTTCCTTCTTCCAGGACCAACAACATACTTTCTCATTTCATTTGAGATAAATTTAACTGATTCAAGACAATTATTTTTCAGTATCTGAGCAACTTCCTTTTTACTGGAATTTGGTCACTTAATACACGGTTTGTTTTTGGGACTTTCTTTTATTCTTCTAACCAGCAGGTTGTCCTCACGATTTACCGGCTACCCACCAAAGGCCGGATCAACATTCCTCAGGTGGGGGGGGGGTTGTGGGGGTGCAAATTACCACGAAAATAAAGAGATGGATAAATGTGTGGAATTAACTGCAAATCTTTTCAGCGGGTCTCGTGATCTGGGTGTAGTCCCCCCACCCTTTGACCCGTCTGTCTGCGTCCTCCTGCTGCTTATGCAGATCCTTCTTAGCAGGCGAATAATTGTGAACACAGATTCCCCCAAACGTTGAAAACACCCCGCGGTCGTCTGGCCTCGCGTTTAATTGCCCCTCGGCTTCGGTCCAGGAAGCGTTACGTTTTTCTCTCGGCTTTGTTGGCGCCTTCGACACGGCGGCAGGAATCCTGGTGGAGAACACGCCACATCTGAAGAGCAGCAGAAGCTTCTGGTCGCGTTCCTCTGGCCCCCTGGATGCCAAAACCCCCACCTGAACCCTGAACCCTAGACCCTAAAGCCTGGGACCCTGGCCCGGAGACCAGAGACCCACAAGCAACAAGCCCAGGAGTCGTGAACTCCCCAAACCTACTTGTTCCGCTGCTTCCCAGTAAAAGGGCAGGTGCGTTTCATTTAAACACCCTCACTGCTCCCGGGTTTAAACTACTAATGAAGCACATTCCAGATGTCATCCAACGCAAAAAGCAAAGATGAGACCAGCGATCCAGATCTCAGTAATCCTCAGAAGAGAAACTGTTGGATTGAGTAAATAAACATAAAAGTAGAGTAAATAAACAATGAGTCGAGTAAAGCAAGGCTCTGATTTATTTAGCTGAAGTGATTTCTAGTAGAAATATGACTAAAGTTCAGACTAAATAACATTTTAATGTGGCTGACGTGAGTTTTTTGTGTCTCTTCCGTTTATTCCATAAATCCACTTCATTTTGTTCTGAGGAATGGACTGTTTACCCGAACAACCTCTACCCCCCCCCCCCCCCCCCCCCATCCGCCTCCCCTTCCTTCCGACCACACGTTAAACTCCCGGTACATTCAGCTTTACGAGGTCTGATGTGCGGTCCAACCTCAGCCCTCCTCCTCCTCCTCTTCGTCACCGTCCACGAGCAGGCAGATCGGGTCCCGTCTTCAGGCCTTAAATCCAAAACAGATTATTGAACGCACTGCACCGATGTCCGTCCCCCTGCGGCTCTTCAGAATGACAGACGAGCAGAGGACAAGTGGTGTCAGGAGACGCGGAGGAGGTGGAAGTGGAGAGGAGAGGTTGCACATTCAGGGGAGGCCTGTGTTTCATTATGCGCTTCACGTATTCTGGCCCTTCGTCATGTGGTCCTCCTGCTGCAGAATGAAGCCGTCTCCCTCCGTCTACCTCCGTCCCCCTGTGTCTCCATCCGTCTCCCTCCGTCCCCCTGTGTCCCCCTGTGTCTCCATCCGTCTACCTCCGTCCCCCTATGTCTCCATCCGTCTCCCTCTGTCTACCTCCGTCCCCCTCCGTCTCCATCCGTCTCCATCCGTCTCCCTCTGTCTCCATCCGTCTCCCTCTGTCTACCTCCGTCCCCCTCTGTCTCCATCCGTCTCCCTCAGTTTACCACCGTCCCCGTGTCTCCAAACAGCCGCCCTCTGTCTACCTCCATCCCCCTCTGTCTCCATCCGTCTCTCTCTGTCCCCACTATATCCCCATCCGGAGCCCTGTGTCCTCCCACGTCCACGTGGCTACCACTGGGCTCCCTGTGTCTACCTCCGTCCCCCTCCGTCTCCATCCGTCTCCATCCGTCTCCCTCTGTCTCCATCCGTCTCCCTCTGTCTACCTCCGTCCCCCTCTGTCTCCATCCGTCTCCCTCAGTTTACCTCCGTCCCCCTGTCTCCAACCGTCCCCCTCTGTCTACCTCCATCCCCCTCTGTCTCCATCCGTCTCCCTCCGTCCCCCTCTGTCTCCATCCGTCCCCCTATTTCTACCTCCGTCCCCGTGTCTCCATCCGTCTCCCTCTGTCTACCTCCGTCCCCCTGTGTCTCCACCCGTCTCCCTCTGTCTACCTCCGTCCCCCTGTGTCTCCATCTGTCTCCCTATGTCTACCTCGGTCCCCCTGTGTCTACATCCGTCTCCCTCTGTCTACCTCCGTCCCCCTGTGTCTCCATCCGTCTACCTCCGTCTCCCTCTGTCTCCATCCGTCTCCCTCTGTCTCCATCAGCGTGCGAGGCTCCTTACAGGACGTGACCCTGTCAGTGATGTAATTCGCTCCTTAACACTCGCTTTCCTTCCACTTTCCTCTTTTGTAGTTTTCCTTCTTCGGTGAAAAGGAGAACGTCTCAGACGGAGAAAGCGGTTCATGAATCGTGGTGCACGTGGTCAGGAAACAGTGTGTATGACAACATATCATCACATATATTTATATCACTGGTTGCTTCAAAACGTTTTTCTTGGGATTTTTTTCATTTCTTTCAGAAATATATTTTTTTTGAATACCTTTTTATTACATTATAACAACCTTATCTTTATGGCGCCGGTTCACTCGGCTTCGCTCGTCTCGGTGAAACATAAAGATTGATTCAACATCCGAAGACTTTTAATTCCCTTTAATGTTGAGATGATAATGTGAGAAAAACAACATTATATATCATACAAATACTAAACAGCGAAAAACAATCAAACGACCAATTAATATCATCAGAAAATATCAGACACAATCTGTCAGTGGAAATCAAACGTAAACCATCTACGTGGATTTGTTGCACCGAGGATCTAAAAACGCGGTTTTAGTTTTGGCAGATTTCCCTTTAGATGGTTTCAATGTTGAGTCTCCTGAAGAGTTTCCTCCTCAAACATCTGTGATGCTGAAATGAGTTAAAGGACCAGAGCCAACGACAACAACGCAGGACGAGTGCTTCTGATGGAGGGATTTCATTAATCGCTTGCTGAGGGCTGCTTGGCCGTGTCCTCCAGTCCTCCAGTCCTCAGTCATCCTGTCCTCCAGTCCTCAGTCATCCTGTCCTCCAGTCCTCAGTCATCCCGTCCTCCAGTCCTCCAGTCCTCAGTCATCCTGTCCTCAGTCATCCCGTCCTCCAGTCCTCCAGTCCTCAGTCATCCTGTCCTCCAGTCCTCAATCCTCCTGTCCTCCAGTCCTCCTGTCCTCCTGCCAAAGACGCCCGGCCTTCTACGACTCTGGGTTCTGTTCCTGAATGCAGCGTGATTCATCCCCCCACTGGGCCGAGGAGCCGAGGAGCCGAGGAGACGGGAAGCTGGACAACCAGCAGAAGGTGAGCGTCTGTGCACGTTGGAGCTCATGAAACGGAGGCCGAGAAACTTTACATTCGGAAAATAAATAGAGTATAGAGGACAGAAGAGACTCGATGCCCTCTATCACAGTAATCTAAAAACTAAATATCGTAAATCTGATCTAAAATGAAGTCCCTTCCTTCCTGATTTTGCCCTCATTGTTCATCTTCAATCTGTGGAGTCGGGGGGTTACGGGTTCGTGCACCGTAGAGACTCGTGCCGTTTGTGCCTTTGTGCGCAGCCCTTTTGGCTCGAGTCACATGATGAATAATAAATGCTTTGCACTTTAATATTCCGAGTGGAAGAAGAGGAGTCTGTGACTATCGGACAGCGAGAGGCTGGTTGGGGGAGATTCTCTCTCTAATAACTAGCATAGCACAAGTAGCATTAATGGCGGACAACAGAAAAGCACCTCGTGACTCGATCAATACGCAGCTCCTACAACGCACGATGATTCCATCTTTTGTGATATTTGACAAATAACAGGGGTGGATTTTGGTGGGATCGTGGAACCAAAGGGCTCCTGGACGGGGCAGTTGTTTTAGGAACGAGTCCGTCTCCTCGCATCTGCGGTTTGAAAACGTGCAGACGTGATTTTCTCTGCTGAGGTTCTTGAACTCGTCGCTTTAGACACTTTAGACGCTTTAGACGCTTTAGACACTTTAGACACTTTAGACGCTTTAGACGCTTTAGACACTTTAGACACTTTAGACACTTTAGACACTTTAGACACTTTAGACACGTTCCCTTGTGGCGCTTCGGTGGTAAAAACTGATTTCTCACAGTCGACAGATTCAGGCGGGAATCATTTCTGTAGATTATTAAAAGTATTCAGGACGTTTTCTGTGGTGAAATGTGTGTTTTTCAAATGCCATTTTTCTGATTATTCACGCACCACAAGTGAAAGTCGATCCCCTCCATTGTGTGTGTTGTTCTCTGAGCCAAACTATGTGCAGGGCAGGACGCCACATGGGAACAGGGCTCTTATAGTGTTGTGCATAAATGGACCATGTAATCGTCCTGGCAGCTGCTCACTGAATGCTGCTGGTTCCAATGCTGAACGACAAATAATCATTTTCCGACATAAATAGAAACCCTCACTTGCTCAGTAAGAGTGAAGCCGTAAACGAGGTGAAACCAAAGGGTCGAATCTTACAACCTTGTGTAATATTTAAGATATTTAGAATAATTCAGAATATGTGTCACTATACTTTGGCATTTTGTCTTTTTCATGAACGTATACATTAAAATGTATTTACATGTCTCTGATTTGGTTGGAGTGGCTCCAGAAAGCCTCTGGAACGAGACGATCTTTAGTTTCCTCCCTCCTGCCGGTGGGTGGGAGAGCGTTTGGGTTTGTATGTTCTGGCAGTGACCCTCCCAGGACCCCTGAAGGCCAATCAACCTTCTGAGCACATCAGGACCATATAGACATAGAATACAGAACAGATAGAGCATCGACATTTAGGTACACGCACAAACCAACATCACAGTATAAAAAACAACAACACAACCTACTCATTTGTTCTACAGAACTTTCCTGCCCTTCTTATCAGCCCCCCGGCCCCCTTCATTTCCTCTTCCTTGTGCCTTCTGGCAGCCGGGTCGGTTCCTGTAGGTCGATTTGATACAGTAGAATCTTATCAACGTTCTCCGACCACACAGCCGTCATCGTGCAGCAGGTCTGAAGCCACAACGTGGGACTCGCTCCATGATTATCTGGGTTGTTTCTGAGCAGATAGTTGCTGCCAGTTCAACGGTTTCATTCAGCAGAACATCGTTTGCTCTTGATGGAAAATGCATACGAAGCAAAGATTCGATAACGAAATTAAATCTTGAATCAGTCTGATTAGAAGCAGAAAACTGGGGCTTCCATGTCTGCTGACAGTGTACGAGAGTATGAGAGCAGCAGGGACTCTGATGCAAAGTGAGGATGTCAGAGCTTCTAGAACACCTTCTAGAACGCCTTCCTCCACTGAGATGAGGAGAGGTTCCACAGCAGAAAGCTTCCCGTGCCTCCTTTCCTATTGGAACCCTTACAGTTGCCTGGAAGGTCTCTAAAAGGTCTATAGAAGGTCCCTAGAAGTGCTCTAGAAGGTCCCTAAGAGGTCTCTAGAACTTGGTGCTGTGGGCGAAGCTGTCGGACATGATGATGTTCTTGTAGAAGTTGTCGGAGCGCGTGGAGCAGTAGCCTCTCACCTTGTCGATCATCTGGCTGACGGGGAGGATGGAGGACGAGGAGGAGGATGACGAGTGGGGCTCCGCCTCGGACGAAGAGGAGCACGAGGAGACGCACTGGGGGCCGGTCTGGTTGGAGTAACATTTGTCTGGGTGGAGAAACAGGGACACACGGGTTGGTACTTGATGCAATAATCATGGAGGCGTCTGGTGGAGACACAGATCGAATTCAGGCGTTTGACACGTTACCACGTAGGAGGAGGAGGAGGAGGAGGAACGCATCGTCGCTTCCAGACAAGAAGAACAAGATACGGCTTAAATAACATTTCAACAGCATGAAGATTTCAGGAGAGTAAAGCAGGCGGGAGGGATGTGAGTGAGGGAAGAGAGAAACCAAACGTCTACATACGGTGTGTGCGATTATATCCGGAACCTTTTAAAAGTTCACTTTAATACAATAATGTTAAATAAGTCCTGCTCCTCTATGGAAACGGGACCATCAGGACCATCAGGACTAGAAGAGAAAGACCTCAACATGTCCGTCTCTTGTATCGTGTGACATCGATCAACCCGAAATCCACAACAATATTTGAACTTCTTATTATTCCTTCTATTCATGAACAATAAGAATAATAAGTGATAAACTGACCCTTTGTGTTGAGCACAGGTCGACTGATGGATTAAATAAGACGCTGATGAACGGTTGTCATGGCAACCAGCAGCTCTTTATTTGATCTTTCTGTGATTCTCAGACACACTTAATCGATTCTCTTCAATGACATTTAAGTTTATTTCCTCAGGATCTCCACTAACATCTACAACCCGCCATGGACACGAGGACATCTGGGAGACGTTCCTCCGCTCCGCTCCGGTTGCGGCTTTAGATTCCTCTGACGGCATCTGGAGGGACACCACAGGTCTGCAGCTCTGGACGCTCTTCTGGAAAAGAAACGAGCTGATTGGACAAAAAGACGTCACAATCAAGCTGAAACTGCTCCTGTCCTCTTGTCCTTCTGTCCTCTGGTCGTCCTCCCCTCCTGTCCTCTGGTACGCAGCGTGCAATGTGAAGCAGCCTCGTTGTCCTGTCTTCCATGGAGCCGGCGTCACCGTGGCGACGGGTTTGAGGTCCTGGCTCTCGTCCAGAGATTCTCTTCCTCTGAAATACGCTCCGGGACGCAGATGGAGGCTGAGGGGGGATGTCGGGGTGAACCTCTGGTCATGAACTGCGGATCCTCTGACATCTGGAATCGACAAACATCTGGAGCGCGTACAGTGAGAACCTCCGATAGAAGGAGGTCTGATAGGACGGATGTGGAGACACGAGTGGGCCTTGTGTGAGACAGAGAATCCATGGTCTCCTTTCAAAATAAACCTCAGTCGTCACAGGAAACTAGAAAAATAAAATGGTTGTTGGGTTAAAATAAGCACAGAAGTTGAGCAACGAACAAATCGTCGTTAACTTGCTCTTCATGCGGCGCTCTGCTGATGCTCACAGAATTAACAGGTGTGCCAGATGTTCGTGTCTGAGCTCAGCCGAGCCGATCCTCAGAGGACAGAGGAGGAAAAGGTTGCCGAGCGAGACGCAGCGGTTTGAAAGGTCGGACCGATCGCCGGGGTCCGTTTCAGCAGGTGAAGGCCGGCGTGGGTTCGGATGACCCGGCAGGCTGGAAGAACTCAGTTACAGGCCGACGTGTTTTTAGCGGATGGAAAGAGCTCGATCAAGCAGCTGAAGAAGCTCAAAACAAGTGTATTAAAAGACGCGTGGGGACATATTCCTTCATTGCGATCACAGGAAACGTGGTTTACGACTCTCGACTCCCTAAAGGTCGCCAAAGGTCGCCCCGCGGAGGAGCATACCGGAGGAACTCTAATGTGTCTTTCCCTTGGTGGTATTCTGTCAGCTCTTAATCCTCTTCTGTCTGGCTCTCGCTCCACGGGAGCTTTAAGCCCGAGAGGCAGAAACCTGCTGGTTCTGCTGTGATCTAGAGCTCTTACTCCTGTGGGACGTTGGAGAGACGTGAACTTTTCACCAGCGAGGGAAGCTGTGAAGGTCGACTTTAAGTCAGAACTGCTGCACCAGAGTTTATAACTTCAGTTCAGATATCAGTCCACTGAAAACCCTCCCAGATCCCGACATTTGGTCTGATTGATACCAGATTGACCAATGAGCTTTAAAGGGGCGTGGCTTAGCACATCGACAGACCTAACTTTAGAACCGTAGATCATGAACCTGGAACGTATCCTTGCGATCGACCACAGGGCGCCATGTCAAATTCCTTGTATGTCTCCTATAACATATTTTGGAAATAAATGTTCCTGATTCCTGAATTCTTATTTTATGGTTTCTATTTTCTTCCAAAAGAAGAAGAGGGACCAGACATCGTATCTCAGCTCGACCTCCGTCGCACAGAAACACGAGTGAATGTCAGAAGACGCAAATACAGAAACATGTCACTCAATCATAACTGATGCTGACGCACTTCTCAACACTTCATACTGATTATTTTAAATCTTTAAATCAAGTTTGTTATTTAGCTCCTTCATCTAAAATAACATGTAAGGACACGACGTCTACATGTGGACGCCGTGTGATCCTCATCATTTGGGGTAATTCCGAACAAACAAACGCAAATGACTGGATGAGTTAATCTGCTCCCATGGAAACACACGGTTAGCGGCGTTAGCGGGGTGCAGGCTATCGGGTGTGCTTGTTTACGCACCCTGGGGCACTCTGGGTGGGCGGAGTTTGTAGCTTTAAGGGTGTGCCAATGGGTGCGGTTGGGGCGGGGGGGACTTTCCCCCACCCAGCGTGCCCCAGGCTGGGGAACAATATGGCGTGACCTTGATGACATCACAGTGACCAGCCAATCACAGCGCACGGTGGCTGCTTTCCCAAAATGTCCAGCCGGCAAAGGTCTTTTCTCTTTTTCCTCCTCTTCTAATTAAACGTGAAACGCTCAACGCTGAATTTGGACCCTTCAGATGCGCTTTGACCACCAACACATTTTGGGAAAACTTGGGATCACATGATGCCAGAAGCAGGAAGTCAATCAGCCAATCAGCTTTAGCTTTACCTCCGTCGGTCCTCCGCTCCTGCTATTGGATGGAGGAGCTTTCTACACCAAACACAGAGGTAGACACCATCAACGTGTGGGGACACAATACACACAAGTGTGGTTTACTCGGCTACATATGTATGTATATGTGTGTCTGTCTCCCCTGTGCGTGTCTCCGCATGTCTCACCTGTGTTGCTGTGTCTCTTGGTGAAGGGGTTTAGCGTAGCTTTGGCCTTGGACGTCCAGCTGGCGGTGGTGGAGCCGAAGGAGCCGGAGGACAGAGACTTCCCCAGCTGGTCCGAGCTCACCTTCTTGGTGTTGTTGGTGGGCGTCTTACTCCCGTCTGACGGGGGGACGGAGACACACGCGAGTGATTCACCGTTTAATAACTACATCATTACACGATGATGTCCTCAATGTGAGGACGCTGCAGCTTTACATTAAAAAAAGACAAGAACTTTTCTATAAAAATATTGAAAAATATACAGGGAGACGGACAGAGAGACGGAGAGAGACAGGGAGACAGACAGAGACGGACAGAGACAGGGAGACGGACAGAGGGAGAGACAAAGAACATTTTATACTGATTTCATAAATGCATCGTGACTTCCTCAGACGATGAAGATCGTCCACACGCTTTGCTTTCATCTTCTATTATGAGCTGGTTTTATATTTTAACAAAGTGACTCTCTATCACGGAGATGTGGACGCAGTCCTGAGGACGGATTAGAGCCCCAAAGAGACAAACAGGAGTCTCCCAGGTCCAGAGAGACAGACAGGTCCAGAGAGACAGACACACAGTGAGAGACAGAGAGAGGGAGACAGGAGTCTCCAGGTAGAGACAGACAGGTCCAGAGAGAAACACAGACAGTGAGAGACAGAGAGAGGGAGACAGGAGTCTCCAGGTAGAGACAGACAGGTACCTGAGTAGTCTGACGGTCTGAAGCGTCCACAGCACAGGAAGCGTCTCCACTGCTTCTGGACGTTCTCCTTCAGAGCGCAGTGGAAGACGAAGATGAAGAGCCCTGCAGAGGGAGACGGCGTGTGAGTGTGGGCCGTGGTCACGTGACCTCTGAGGTGCTACCTGACGTTACCTTGCAGCGAGTTGAAGATGGCGAACAGGTACATGAAGGCCAGGCTGACGGGCCCCCAGGCGAACAGAGCGAAGCCCCACGTCATCCCCAGCAGGAAGGACAGGCTGACCACGCTGCGCAGGTTACGCAGCACCTGCAGCACCACACAAGAGGGACGTCCCCCCGGTTACCGTGGTTACGGCTGCTACGAGGCAATCACACAGCCGAGGAGAGACGGTAGATTCTTCATTCAGCTCCTCATCTTCATATCAGGATTATTGATCACAACTGAGCTAAACGTCACAAATTAAAAGTCTGCTGGCTTCTCTCCTCCTCCTCCTCCTCCTCGTCCTCCTCGTCCTCCTCCCCTCTCCTCCTCCTCCTCCTCCTCGTCCTCCCCCTCGTCCTCCTCCTCCGCCTCCTCCCCTCGTCCTCCTCCTCGTCGTCCTCCTCCTCCTCCTCCCCTCCCCTCCTCCTCCTCCTCCCCCCTCTCCTCCTCCTCGTCCTCCTCCCCTCTCCTCCCCTCTCCTCCTCCTCCTCCTCCTCTCCTTTCCTCGTCCTCCTCCCCTCTCCTCCTCTCTCCTCCTCCCCTTGTCCTCCTCCTCCTCCCCTCTCCTCCCCTCTCCTCGTCCTCCTCCTCCTCCCCTCTCCTCCTCCCCTCTCCTCCTCCTCCCTCTCCTCCCCTCTCCTCCTCCTCCTCCCCTCTCCTCCTCCTCCCCTCGTCCTCCTCCTCCTCCCCTCTCCTCCTCCTCCCCTCGTCCTCCTCCTCCTCCTCCTCCCCTCTCCTCCTCCTCCTCCCCTCTCCTCCTCCTCCTCCCCTCGTCCTCCTCCTCCTCCTCGTCCCCTCCTCCTCCTCCCCTCGTCCTCCTCCTCCTCCTCCCCTCCTCCTCCTCCTCCTCCCCTCACCTCCTCTCGCAGCGTGCGGTTGCTGCGCTTGCCGTTGCGTCCTACATATCTGCAGCATGACCACGATGAACATGGCCACGTTGAGGAGGAACACGAGGCAGAAGTATCCCACGCAGGACGTGTAGAAGACCACCGGGTTCTGGATCCAGCAGCTGAGGAATAGCAGCACAAGTACTGTAGTACTGCACAGTACCTAGTAGTACAACTTTAACCTGAACTCTGCTTCACACAATGTGTGTTTAGTACTCACAACTGTGAGGACCCGTCTCCTGAGTGTCCTCCAGAGTACTGCTGAAGACCATAAGAGGTCTGATCCACCACGACAACCAGGCCCACCAAGACCGCCGGGAGACCTGACACACACACACACACACACACACACACACACACACACACACACACACACGTCTTTGTTGTTACCACGTTTAAGTCGCAGTGAAAGCATTCAGGTAAAGAACTTTGAATAAAGTTCAGATCAAAGAAGCGATTAAATAAAAATAAAAGGCTGAATATTGAACTGGTTTCCGACACGTCGCCTTTCATCAGTGCCATAAAATCAACAACTATCCTACAAGCGAGCCGACGTAGAACTGTGTTAAAGCTGCATTCTCTGTAGTGACCACCAATAGAAGTCTACGAGAAAATGACATAAAGCAGGCGATGCTTTGGGGCGGGGCTACACGCTGATTGACAGGTACCACTGCGATGCTGTGGACTGTTTTCATCAATTGCTTTTCAACGTCAACTTCTTGTTGGACTCAAATATTCTTCTCGTTTCAGCACCTCCACTAAGAGCCCACAATGAACATCTCAGCCGCTCACCCCATCCCACCAGGCAGAACTTGAGGATGTATCTGCGGATGTAGGTGTTGAAGACCTTCACCAGGGCGATGTACATGTGGATGGACTCCAGCCCCATCCAGGTGAAGGTGGTGAGCAGGAAGTAGTGCAGGAAGATGGCCACGGACATGCACAGCCAATGGGTGTCCAGGCTGGCCAGCCAGCCGTCCAATAGGAAGACCATGTTGAGGCACAGCAGGGAGGTGCTGAGGTTCATCAGGATTTTGGACGGGTAGTCGCGCCGCAGCTTCCTACGTGGACAGAAGAAGAAGAGCGGCGACGTGGTTGACATATGAGATATGATGAAGTCTGGTCCCATCAGCGGTTTAACGTCAGTGTGACACGGAGACGATTACATTCTCCCTTTGTGGTTTGTATTGATATTGATAAAAGTTACACAATGAATAGATTAGATGGTCACTTCCTGTTCAAGGGTTGACTAAAAAACAACGTGGTGTTCATTTAGTGAATCGTGGATGATGATCAAATGTGTTTGTGACCAACGCGTTTTTGCATCATCACTACGTCAGCTGACTTACTCAAAGGCGACGTAGGTGAGCAGCGTGGCGGCGGAGAAGATGGCAGAGATGCCGCAGCCGACGTAGGAGATGAAGGTCAGGATCCGGTTGTTCTCCTGGTCGATGTGGGGAGAAGCTCTGGAAATGTCCTGCAGATGGAGAGGAGGATCGTGAGGAGATGGAGGAGGGAGGAGGAGGAGTAGAGGTCCTACAGAGGGGAATGGTGAGGAGATGGAGCAGAGTGGAGGAAGAGGAGGAGAGAGGAGGAGGGAGTCCCGGTCCCACCATGAGGATGCCGAAGTGGGTCAGGTGGTCACACAGGCAGACGGTCCTGTTGCTGGAGGACTCTGTGGAGGTTCTGCAGCCGTCTGCGTTCCAGCCTCCGGCTCCCCCTGGTGGCGGTTTACAGGTATTACAGCACAGCTCCATCACTGCTACACAGGAGCTGACGGAGCTGATTGGGACTCACCGCTCATGCTGAAGTCCCAGAACATGCAGACCGGATTCAGGTGGGTCTGTGAGGAGAGGAGAAGAAGACAAAGAGGAAGAATTTAGTTCCCAGAAGTGCAAAATCATAACAAATGTTATTTAATATACTGTATGTGGTTGCATGACTTCTCCACAGGTCTCACACACACACACACACACACACACCTGTAGGTGCTCAGACAGGTGAGCGATCTGGATCTCCACGGGGTCCTTCAGGTCACGGATGGATAAGTTCCCCACGCTGCTCGCCACCACGTAGCTGTTCAACGAGCGCCCGTCCTGCTCTTTCTACGAGAGGTTCATTGACGATCAGTCGGATTATTGATCGTATTCATTGATCGGGACTCATCAGCCGTTTTATCGACCTCACCTGGAAAAGGTTTGTGCTGCTGAAGAACATGAAGTTGATCCTGGACAGAGAAGATCTCTCTTCTTCTGTCAGTGACGTGCCGGACAGAAGAGACGCAGGAAGACTCACCTGAGCTAGAGGGTTACTCCTCCCTGACTGGAAATCAATCTGGGGGGTGGATGGAGAGGTGATGGAGGAGGGGGAGTGGGAGGGGCTACCTGCCTCTGGGGGCCGTGACCTGTGAGGGGTGGTTACCTGTGGGTAGGTGCTATTTGGAGCTACGAAGGCGCTGAAGGAGGTCCCATTAAACACGGAGGCGTTCAGGGTGGAGATCCCCACAGCCAGGTGTTTGGAGGAGATGCTGATCGACGGACCCTCGAACTGGATCTTCTGAACCAACTCGTCTACGGTCTTCAGCGCTCTGACGGGGAGGAGCCAAGACGTAGAGCGAATATAGAGACACGCGGAGTAGGTCACAGTACAATAGAGTATACAGTAGACCAGAGTACACTAGAGTACACAGTAGAGTACACCGTACTTGTCGGAGGAGGCAGCGAGCACCGTCTCCGAGCTGCTCATCACGTTGGAGATGATGGTGACCACGGTGGAGGCCAAAGAGCTGTTGATCTCCGCCACGTTCACCAGCTGCTTCACCTTCGTCACCACCTTGGACACCTGAGGAGGAAGAAGAGAAGCCGATGAAGAGCAGCCGGGTGAGGCTCCTCCTCACAGGAAGTCGGGTCAGAGGGCCCGCCCCCACCTCCTCATCGGACAGCTCGTTGTTGGTGATGACGGCGAGCTGCGACGCCACCTCAGCGGCGTTCTCTAAAAAGAGAGAAAGAAATATATGTAACTATAAAAGTATTGTTAACTAAAATATGGAGCTTCTTTTATAGTTCTGATTTTATCCTCCTTTTAAATATTTCACATTATTAATATTTTTTATTTATTAATATGTTTTATTCTAAATCTTTTGTCATTATTATGAATATTTCATTGTTATTATAAAAATTCATCTTTATTGAAAATATTGTCTTTATTATAAATCTTTAAGCTTTTTATAAACATTTCATCCGTATTCTAAATATGTCTTTATTATGAATATTTGGGCTTTATTCTTATTACTTTTGTCTGTGATGATGTAACCGTATATTTCATATTGAGTTTCATCGCTTGAAGCATTTTTGTATTGTTAAGGCTCCTCAGCTGACAGCTGACCCTCAGCGGGGGCTCTGATTGGCTGCTGGGCGTACCTGCTGACACCAGGATGCTGTCGATGTCGGTGCAGTTTGAGGCGTCAGCCGTCGACCAATAGGAGGAGAAGTTCTGTGGGCTGATGAGACTGAGACCAACAAGGTGACACACGGCCTGTTAGTCAACGTCTGTGTGTGTCTGTGTGTGTGCGTGTGTCTGTGCGTGTGTGTGTGCGTGTGTGTGATTGTGTCTGTGTGTGCGTGTGCGTGTGTGCGTGTGTGTGTGTGTGATTGTGTGTGTGTGTGTGTGTGTGTGTGTGATTGTGTGTGTGTGTGTGTGTGTGTGTGTGATTGTGTGTCTGCGTGCGTGCGTGTGTGTGTGTGTGTGATTGTGTGTCTGCGTGTGTGTGTGCATGTGTGATTGTGTGCGTGCGCGTGCTTATTTCTGTGCGTGTTTATTTCTGTGTGCGTGCGTGCATGTGTGCATGTGCGCGTGTGTGTGCGTGCGTGCGTGCGTGTGTGTGTGTGCGTGTGTGCGTGCGTGTGTGTGCGTGTGTGCGTGCGCGTGCGTGCGTGTGTGCGTGTGCGTGTGCGTGTGTGCGTGCGCGTGCGTGCGTGTGTGCGTGTGCGTGTGTGTGTGTGCGTGTGTGTGTGTGTGTGCGGGCTACCAGGTCCTGGCGGTGCTCTGGTCCTTGTTGGGGAAGCAGGGCAGGTAGCGGGTCACGCTGGCTCGGCTCTCAGGCCAACTGTAGTGCAGCAGCTTCTCCTCCTCACAGTTCTCTGCAAAGTAAATGAAGAAGTGAAGATAATTAATGATCACTACTTCATATATAAAGTAAAAAAATAACAATAAGAAATACAACAATGCAAAATATACAAAAAGAAAATAGAAAAATGTTAAATGTAGTAAACTAATATATACTGTATCTATAACTAAAGGGGATTCATTATACAGTCTGTACAGATAAATAAATATAAACTAAAATAATAATGAATAACAAACAGAGAGGCTGCATCAGATAAGAAAAGTCCTGAAAGATGAGACAAGAGACAGAGATTAATATTGTGTATTTTCCCACCAAGATTAAAGTACATACACTACACAGTAAAGTACATTAGAGCAGAGTACACAAAGAGTAAAGTACACAGTAGTAGTAGAGTACACAGTAGAGTAAAGTAGAGCTGTGTAGTTTCCTACCGACTACATGGACGTCAATGGAGGCCGGGACGATCTGCAGGCCGCCCCCCCCCAGGAGCCCTTCCCTGGCGGACAGCCTGGCGGACAGGGCGGGGCCCCCCAGGCTCTCGTTGGTACTGTGGTAGTACACCAGCAGGGCCCGGCACCAGGAGCTGGAGACCAGAACACAACGGAGGTGAACTCGTGACCCCTTCAGGAGGTCATGTGACCCACAGTGACCCGATGACATCACACCAATAATGAATGTAGAGGTCTGACCTGGTGGGGCTTCCTCCGCTCGGAGAACCCGGCTGCACACTGAGGGGGAAACACACCGCGGGATGTCTGTGAAACCTGTGACGTACTGTGTACATGTACTGTGTACTGTGATGTATATATATGATATACTTTATGTCTTCATAGATATAGATACAAATCTCTGCTGGGTTACCTGATGGAGTCCACGTAGACGACATGGGTCCAGTTCTGAAAGGTTTCATTGAGCTGCAGGCAGAAAGCATAAAGGGAGTTCTATTAGAAGGAGGGGCTCAACCGGGTCCTCCAGGGGGTCGATTCAGGCCCCCATGGCTGCTGCCGGAATAATAAAAGACAAACAAAGAACTTCTTACCCACAAGGCCACAGCTCGCTCCACCTCAGCCCGCGTCAACGCCACGCCGCCATCCACCACCAGGGAAACCCGGTAGAAGGAACCCTCTGCAGGGGGGCAAGAGAGACACACAGAGGAAATAATCGATCATCCTCACAGACTCTTTTCCACAGATAATAGAAGTCCTCCTCTTCTTCATCTTCCTCTGTGACTCATAGCAGGAAGTGATGGAGCAGGTGGAGATACGAATTCATGCAGGAAATCAGCCCTTTTCTTTGATCTGCTCACTTAAAACTTAGAACCCAAGCTTTCATTTTTTGTTTCTTTTTAACATTCAGTTTATTTTCTTAGTGAGTTGAATCTTTGAGATGAATTTGGACCGTTGGGACAAAGAAGAAGTGGATATCTTCTCTTCTTCTGTAAATAAGGTTGCTATTGATTGGATCAAACAATGGACTCATGGGCTCTCAGCTCTCCTGCTATGCATCACGTCGGCCACTAGGTGTCGCTCTATAGTAGTTAGTTGTGCTACTGAAGGTTTAAAAGAGGACAATTTGATGATTGATGGGTAAAAAGAGAGATTTCATGTTGTAATGATTCAGATTAAAGAGAGAAAGATGTAACTACAGAGGTTTTGAGAAGAGGAAAGGGGAGAATCAGAATCTAACCACTACCTTCTAATTGGACCACTAGACTTCATGTTAAAGTCCTACAGAGGACCCAGAACCATGACGAACCAATCACAGAGGTGATCCCGCCCCCTCACCTGATGCTACGACCATCAACCACTACGGAACGGACAGAAGGTGCATACACCCAACCAGCTGAGTAACTTATTCACGTATTCAGTCTTAAAATCTTTAAAAAGTGACCTCATCCGCCAAACGGATCGCTAAAAATATCAACCAGCTTTTATACTTCATACATGTGGCCCAAAGTCTGTGGACACCTGAATTACACGTCATTTAAAAACGATTTTGGGCTGCAGAGAAACGCTCCCAAACCAGTTCAGGTATTTATGACTGGAAGACACTTCTGAAACATCAACGTGTGCTGTAGCTGCCAGATGAAAAGGTCACAGGTCTCGTGGAGGAGGAGTCCGCATACCTTTGGCCACACATAACAATCGGACTACCAAGCCAACACTTGAGTTTGTCTCCGAATAAAAAGACTTTAGGACTGAATACAAGTCACTTTGTGTAATTTGCTCCTCGCGTGCATGAGTCATGACGGATGATTGTTCTTTGGGTTCTCTACGTCTACGGTTCTTTGTTACTGCATGACATACTGTTCCCCGATGACAGTCCACACAGACATGTAAAATGAAAGCGTTGTTTACATTGGCATGGCAACGTGGGCTCGGGCGGGGGTTCGGTCGTGAGGCGCACTGTGACCTTTGTGAGGCCGCCGCCGGTAGCCGCCGCAGGGGGGCTCTTTGTGGCTACGGACTGGTGAGGGGGGGTAGGGGAACGGTGGACCTCCCTGCCGGGATTCCACACACTCGGGATGGAACCGGGTTTTGTTACTGAGTGTGTAGTGAGATGTGGAGTTGTGGCCCCCCGAGAGGCTTCCATACCGCCATTCTCCATCAGAGCTGAAGCATTTTTAGTCTTGGTGGCATTTGTCTTTTTGGAGTCTTTGACGGTCCCATAGTCGTATTCTAGGCCTGCTGTGTCTGTTAAGTGGTTGCCTCCGCCTGGAGGGGGGAGCTCCCCCACCCCAGAGATCAAGGCCTGAGCCGAGGACGTGGTGGGGGGTTCGGAGGCTGGCGCGGATGGAGGAAGATTGAAGCCAGAAGTGTGCAGGGGGTTCTGAGTAATCGCGGCCCCTGGGGGATTTGTTGATGCTGCAGCAAAGGGGGGGGCAGGGGGGGGAAGCGATTGAGCTTCTGGAGCTTTCAAAGGAGGGTCGTCGTCCCTGGTGCTCACCGATGGAGAAAACGGTTCCATAGCAGAGGCCTGTTCGTCCGCTGGGTGTATCACCGATGGAGAAAGCGGTTCCATAGCAGAGGCCTGTTCGTCCGCTGGGTGTATCTTTGGAACAACTTCCGCAGGGTCAAATAAAGCAGACAGCTTTACAGCTGCAGCGACATTATTTGAGGGCGATAATACTTTATCGGTGACAAATTTGGAAGCGCCTGCTGTTTGTGAGTTGTTTGCACGCGGTTGCCAGACCTCGTCCTTCTCTTGAGCAGAAACGAGTGGATGTGAGTGGCTGGGTTTTAATCCCTCATGAGGGAGGGAGGCGGCTTTGTAAAGGGGAAGTGACTGTCCGTGTGTGGTGAGCTGCCGGGTTGACAGGTACGTGGTGGATCTTTGGAAGGACTTTAACTGGTGGACCAGCGGGCTTTGGGTCATTGTCGGCTCGTGGAAGCCAACGGCAGGCAACAAGGAGACCATTTTTTCCTCTCCCTGGCTGGCTGACACTGCCAACCAGCCAGGGAGCAAGGAAGGAGGAGAAGGAGGGATTAAAGATGAGAGGCCGAGAGAGGAGACGAGATAGGTGGCAGACGGTTGAAGGAAAGGAGGTGCCACGGAAGCTGCAAGAGAAAGAGATGGCAGAATAAAGGGAGAAAAGCTCACATCTTGTGACTCGGATGAAGATGTCTGAGCCAAGGGAGGCGGCTCCTCAGCGAGGGGATCAGAGAAGGAGGACAGTGAGGTTTCCTGTCCCGCCATCCATTCTGTCTCCCTGGCCACAAAAAGAGCTTCTGAAGATGAAGTGAGGGACAGGTTGTCAGGGTGATGGGAAAAGGGACTCCAGGGTGAGAGGAAGGGGTGTGAGGATGAAGAGGAAATGGCAGGCGAAGGAGCCGAGTGCAAATATGGTGTTGGGCCAATATTTTCCTGCAGCAGAGTCGGGGTGAGCTCAGAGGCCCACATGACAGCTGCTGGCACAGATGCAAAGACAACATCAGACGGAATCCCTGGACGCCACTTGTCACTCAGCTGTCTCTGATCAGAGCGAACCAACAACTGATGGCCTGACAGACTGGCTGCTTTAGAAGGCCACAAGACCTCGGACAAGGCTGGCTGCGTTCGAGGGGGTAAATCTGGTGATGGCCCCACATATCTAGATACCAAATTCTCAAAAGATAATCCTGATGGAGTTGGCTCAATTTGACTGAAGGCGGAGTCTACAAGACCAGATGGGCCTAACTGCACATCAAGGGGACGAATACTGTCGGAGTCAGGCAGTTGGCTTCTCAAAGCGTCCGATACGCTGTTAGTGGACTCTTCAGAAGAAACTAAGTTGTATTCAGGGAGCGGTTCAGCATCAACAACTGGCATCTGTGATTCAGTTGGAGCTTTAGAAAAGAAAGGAAGTGTCAACGAGGGTTCTGGGTCAACCCCTGTCACAACAAAGCCTCTTTGAAGGTTTGAGGACGGAGAAGGAAATGACAACACAGAAGGTGGATAGTTCACGCCAACACTGATGTGAGGAGATTCAACGTCTGTTTCTGAAGGCCTTTGTTCGGCTGGATGTGCAGAGGATGCAAGAGGAAGAGTGTTGGACTGGAGGGGAGGAGAGAATGGAGGAGGAACAAGGGTATTAGAAGAGTAAAGGAGGAGGGGGGACAGAGTTTGGAAAGTAGCAGCAGAGACAGAAGCTGATGGAGTGATGGCATTCAAGGAGGTAAAGAAGGGAGATCCTGATAAAGAGGAAGGAGAAGGAAAAAAGGGGGTGAGAGTAAGGGGGGTAGGTGAGGAGTATCGTTGGATATCAAGAAGGAATGGAGACGTATTAGAAGAAGGGGTGAAGGGTGTATGATGACCGATTTGCACTTGTCCAGACATGGCGGTGAATAAATTGTGCATCAGTCCAGAGAGCGAGGGCCTGGAAGGAGAGGGGGTTGGTTGAAAAGTCGATGTGTCCGGTTTCCGAGTGACAGTGTGTGTACAGGAAACTTCCTCTGCCTTTTGTCCACTTGGATTAGGGTTGTTCGGGACACGGTGGTCGACATCGAACTCCGGTCTTGGAATCTGAGAGCTGCTGATGAATAGAACCGCCTCCCTAACTGATCCACCGGCCGGGCTTTCTCCCTCGGGAACTGGCCCCGGGTGTTTAACGGCACCAAAAGTCCCACGAGGGTCGGATCTGTTGAGTGATTGTTGGCTTGTGTACGCAGCCTCAAACTCATACACCTCGAACACGCCGGCAACCTCCGTCGACTCGTGGGCAAACGGATCGGATCCCGATGAGTAATCATCCACTGCGGCAACTGTTTGGTTTTCCCCATCGCTTGCGCTCAGCGGCGACCACTGCGGCGCTCCAGGTTTGTTCTTTCTGTTGCTAAGCACTGACGACGACGATGAGAATGATGGAGTCGATTCCTTCGCATCCGACACCTCGCCTCTTGGTTGATAAGGATATAGCTCCCGGGACGAGGTTGAAACCGCTGCTTCAGTGGGGACTTTTGAGTCTTGAGTTGTTACCGAGGCGGCCTCGTGGGCAAAGTCTGTTCGTGAAGTAGGTTTTGTCGTATCCACGGGATTCCACGGAATACGTGTCGAACTCAAGAACCAAGCCGTGTGTTTGAATCCAGGTTTCGTGACGCGAACCACCGGCCTGGGCGGCGTACTGGTGGAGGCCGGGCGTATTCCTCCGGTTGGCCTCTTCCTCCCCTGCCAGATCAAAGGTGTGGAGATGAAGCCTAGGGGGGTCTTGGAACTGCGTTGGCGTCTCGGTCTGGGGAGGGAGGCCTGAGGTCTCGGACGAGAGGGTTCCGGTAGAACTTGGGAACTAGTGTCTGGTGCTAAAAGTCTTGGTTCATATGCTTTATCTGGAAGACCCAGGGTTTGGGTTGGAGGAGCCGAGTGACTGGATACAAGGGACCTGCCATGAGAGGCTTTCCCAAGGGGGCGGGGAATGAGGGCTGCCCTAGTCTGTCTGATGGTCGCTGGAGGTCTGGGTGCATGAGCAATGGAGGATCCAACAGCATGCCGGCGTCTTCTCAGAGGCTCGGACTGGGGAGCCGGGCCCTCAAGAGGAACTAGACCAGCAGGAGCTTTGGTTGGAGATCTCGCTGTCACCCGGGCACGGCACATCAGACCAGACGCCATTATGGTGAAAAAGCAGGTTACAAATAATAAATTAAGTTTTCTCGCACAAAACATAATCTAAAAACAGTGCTAAACACAATGGAGATAAGAACCTGATAAAACATGATGTGAGATAATAAAACTTGATTACAAAGATCTTGATTTGTATCGATAAAAATAACGATTGGAATAAAGCTTTTAAAATATTATTAGCATATGTACCATATGAGAGGAAATCAAACGAGACGAGGATTTGTTTGTCTTAAACTGTTAGTACCACTTTAAGGGATCAGCAAATGAAACAAAGAACCTGAACAGAATCTAATCACACAGATGGCATATGAAGGATTAAATATGACTCATTCATTAAAATGTGATTTCTTTAATAACAGGATCAGTGGTGATATTCCTTAGTGAGAAGAGATTCGTGGATGTGAAACAGGGCAACGCTGAGAAAAGAGAAACCTTTTCTGCATCAATAAAAGCATTAAACGATGATAGCAAAGACTTTTTCTGATTAAACGAGCGAGGAAACAGAAAAGCTGAAAGAGCAGAGCGAGTCAACTTTGGATGCTGAAGGCTTATGTGCCTCTCACCTGGAGAGGAAGCAGCAGTAGCAGCTGTGTTAGTGGCTGGTTGGTTAGTTACTGACTCCGGCGCCGGAGTTGTTGCTGTGGAGACAAGCATCAGGATGAGAGAGAGGACGGCGACTGAAGGACGGAGTAAGAGGGCCGGATGGATGAGTCAGGACCCCCTCACGACCTCGGTTAGACTTTTAGGCTTTGCAGTTTGATTAAAGGTCTGAAACAGAACCTCGTCCTGGACCGACCTCTGGTTGTTTAAAAACTGTCAGACAGTAAGAGGAAATCGTCATGTGACGCGAGCAGTTGATCCTTTGTGGACCGGCTGGAGGTGTGAATTAAAAAGAACATTAAAAAGCCAGTTCAAACATTTATTGACATATTGTCCAGGTGAGTTTAGAGCATCCTAATACCCGAGGTTATAAACCAGCCAATCAGATGCTGTAATATGCTCTGGGATTAAACAATAGATTTGTCTAACAGAGACCTGGGTTCCGTTATCATACCATCACAAGGTGCACAAGTGAATTTAATCAAATTTCTTCTAGTTCAGAATGACCTGTTTTAAAACTCTGATGTATTACTGTCAGACTTTGTGAGGAGGATCTTTTTCTCGCAACGTACAGGCTGCCGGCTTCTAAGTTCTACATATTGATTATATCAATATTCCATATTGATTCCGCTGGTAGGTATCTTACCCGGCGCTGCTGGGTTAGTAGTGGGCGGGTTAGTGGGAGCAGAGGAAACGGCGGTCTGTTGGGCTACGGGAACATAAACAGTCACACAGGGAAGCGAAGGGAAGAGTTTTTCCTGTACCGATGGGGTCAAAGGTCAGCGGATGCTGCATGTGTACACACTGTAAAGCCCTCTGAGGTAAATTTGTTTTTTGTGATTTTGGGTGTTAATAAAATAAAATGAATTGAAAACACAGCGATACTGTGGAGGCTAAAAACAGGGCTACATCGTAAAGACATCAACCTAAACACGGCTCCCCTTAAACAAGCTACATGCTAAAGTTATTAACCCTTAAATAGAGCTACATGCTACGCGCTAAAGTTATTAACCCTTAAATACAGCTACACGCTAAAGTCATTAACCCTTAAATACAGCTACATGCTACACGCAACAGTTATTAACCCTTAAATACAGCTAAATGCTAAAGTTATTAACCCTTAAATACAGCTACATGCTACATACAGTTATTAACCCTTCAATACAGCTACATGCCACATGGTAAAGTTCTTAACCCTTAAATACAGCTACATGCTAAATACAGTTATTAACCCTTAAATACAGCTACATGCTACATACAGTTATTAACCCTTAAATACAGCTACATGCTACATACAGTTATTAACCCTTAAATACAGCTACATGCTACATACAGTTATTAACCCTTAAATACAGCTACATGCTACATACAGTTATTAACCCTTAAATACAGCTACATGCTACATACAGTTATTAACCCTTTTTTCCCAGCTTTTCCTTCCCAAATCTGATATATTCACAGCCGGTAATAACGGCTCTTACTTCCCACAAAGCAGCAAAGGCGATGGAGCCTTACCGGAGGGGAGGGAGCTGCTGGAGCTGCTGGTTGGGGTTAGTGGCATGCTAGTGGTGGGGGCGGTGGATGGAGATGCAGGGATGGGAGGGAGAACTGGAGGATACAGCAGAAGGAGATGGACCACACATGGAAAACAAAATGCTTCTCTTGCTGAAATGAGGTACGGCCCAACGCTGGTGTGCACATCTGGATGCTATCAGCTGTCTGTGACTCCACGTGCAAAGACAAGAGTCCTGCTACTACTCCAGTTTCATATGTTTCTTTGTTGGAACAAAAAGTCCTCGTTAAACTAGTCATTTTCCATCAGATGGAAATATGACTGACAGGGTTTATTAGCTCACGGAGAGATTTGAGGAACTCGTCTTGTACTGCAGTGCTAGATAATATTTATCCACTTCTTCTGGGTCCATATTAAGAATAATAGAGAGAACAAAAGACTAGTAAAGGGAGTAACTTTGCATGGAAAGTAAAATTGTTCCGAGCAGCTTTTCATAAAAGGGTCAAACATAACATGTGTTTCATTATGAGCAAAGTCTCTTCATAAAAAGCGTTCAGGGAACAAGAACCATTTTTGGGACTTTAGATGAGCACTGGATGAAGTCTACGATAAAACTAGGAAGTAACAGAGTGATGAGAAAGCAGGAAGACAGCGTTGGAGGGAGGAGGAGGAGACATCTGGAAGTGAAGGAGCAGCCGGAGGCCGGGGGGGGCGGGCTTACCGTGGCCGATGGCATTAGTAGCATGGATGGAGTTAGTGGAGGCAGTGGATGGGGCGCTGGGAGAAGAAGCAGCTGGGGGGTCGAGAGAGAAAGATGCAGCACATGATGAACGGCTGTGAAGCTGCAGGACGGTCTTCAGTGCAGAACCTGGAACAGGACCAGGTCCACAGAGGGACGACCCGGACTCGGGGACCCACAGTAAACTACCACGATGGCGAGTGTGTCAGTCCGAGTATAAAACAGGAGGACGGCTGCTCTGCAGCAGGTGTTCATGTCACAAAGAACCTCAGAAACGCAGATATGAAACAACCTTTGTTCTTCACGTCTACTCAGACTCACAGTTATAACGATCCACATCTGAGGAAGAAGGAACTAAGAATCCCCCTTTGGTGACCTCAAACTAAAGCAAAAACATGGAAGAAATGATCTGTTGAAAAAAATGGCCGTGTAACTTACAAAGCTCTTCTGACCAGAAGGTCAATCAGCGCTCTGCAGGTTCAGGAATCAGGAAACATTTGTTGCCATAATATGACATACAAGGAATTTGACTTGGCGGTTGGTGCGTAACAGCAGACAGTACGACAATGGACGACAAGACAACAGTGCACAAGTAATAAAATAAAATATAATGCTATGAGTTAGTTTGAAAATAAAGGAATAGAAGTTCAAATTAAAAAGTTAAAAATGTTTAAAAATTAAAAATAAAGCGCACCAGCGAACAGAAAGTGACGTGTGCAGTGAGAAGAAAGTAACCGGTGGAGTCAGTCAGTGGGGGACCGGCTCTGTTGATGAGGTCTTAGTCCTGATGGACCTCAGCCTCCTGCCACATGGAAGGGGCACAAACAGGTTTTGTCGGGGTGAGAGGGGTCGGCTACCATCTTTTTAGCTGCTTCAGAGACCTGGAAGCGAACAAGTCCTGCAGGGACGGCAGATTGCAGCCGATCAGCCTCTCTGCAGAGCGGAGGACACACTGCAGCCTGCCCTTGTCCTTGGCTGTGGCTGCAGCGTACCAGACGGTGATGGAGGAGCAGAGGACGGACTCCACGATGGCCGTGTAGAAGTGCACCATCATCGTCTTTGGCAGGTTGAATTTCTTCAGCTGATGAAAATCAGCTGAAGAAATTCAGGTGATGTTCAGCTCCCACTTGAGGTCCTGGGTGATGATGGAGCCCAGGAAATGGAACAAATCCACAGTGGTGACGGGGGAGTCACACAGGTTGATGGGGAGGGTGGGGCTCAGTCTTCCTGAAATCTACAACTCATCTCGACTGTCTTCAGAGCGTTGAGCTCCAGGTTGTTCTGGCTGCACCACGACACCAGATGGTCAGACTCCCACCTGGAGGCGGACTCGTCCCCACCAGAGATCAGTCCAATGAGGGTGGTGTCATCCGCAAACTTCAAGAAACCCTGCTCCCAGGGGACGCATCTCGCTGCTGGATCCTCCCTGGGGGGCTCTGCCGTGGTCCGCAGACCCCCCCCGGGTTTAGGCTTGCTTCTCTCAAGACGAGTGACCTTTAGAAAAATGTCCCTCCGACGCCCCCGTAGCACCGGAGGCCGTGAGAAGTGACATTTACTGGAAGCTTCAGGTGAGCTCCTGCATCAAAGGGGCGGGGCCTCAGGGAGACTTGGGTCCTGATCTGTGCACCGTGTTCTGTGGAGCACATGAGGCGCCTACGTCCACACGCTTCATTCTGATAAGAACAGAAGATGGTTGACTGAGACGTCTTCTATTAGTTACACTACAGGTCATTTAGCTGACGCTTTTATCCAAAGCAACTTACATTTTTAACTCATGGCTTTTTACATTTTTGCCTGGGGAGCAATTAGGGGTTTGGTGTCTTGCTCAGGGACACTTCAAGATGGGACATGGGGCAGCCGGGACTCGAACCACCAACCTTGCGGTTCCCAGCGCATCTGATGGACCAATGACATTGGTTAGAGCAGATCATCAGAACTTCTTCTCTTCCTTCTCTCTTCTTCTTTTGGCCTCGTTTCCCTGAAGGAATCGTATCGATTCTGTGATTCTCAGTTCAAAAGGCTGCTTCTGGTGTCTTGAAGCACGTTTGTTGGCTTCAAAGGAGGGTGACTTCCGTCAGGCCGGATCGGCTGGGAGGCTGATGCTCGTACAACGATCCGCGCCCTCCATGTCGGCCCTTGTGGACTTTAACAACTTAACGCACAAAGCCGATGAGGAGAAAGAAGTCAGTGTGGATCTGTGTGCAGGTGAGGACGTGGAAGCGACCTTTGACCTCTGACGTACAAACTGTACACTGAGATTCTATTCATCATGTCGGGGTGTGAAGATCAGATCAGTGATGCAACGTTACACTCGTGTTGTTTCAGCAGGTTAAATGGAACGTGATGCTGGGAGGTGTTCACCGCGCAGGTGGGTTTGTTTTTCCTACCTGGGCAGCCCAGTCCGGGGGAGTCGCAGCCAGCAGTGAGCGGTGTGCTGCTGGGGGGGGAGACACCTTTGGGGGGTAAAGACAGAAAGGTCAATCGCTTACAGTGAATGAGGGAA